TAAAGGATGAGATGGAGGGTGGAACGTACTTTCTGCTGTACCTGGGCATCTTTCCCCAATTCAGAGATTTTGAAGAAGGCAACACAATCTTTGTCTTGGAGTAACATTGTCCCCTGGTGGATGCTGTGGAAATAGACTAGCTCTCAATATATTTTTTTTTTTATTAATGTTAAAAAAAAGAAACAAAAGCCAACGAGAACGGATATAAGTAAAGAAAGGATAAACAAAGAAAAAGCCGAAAGGGCAAAAAGAAAGCAGGAAAAGAAATAAAAAAGAAGTCACTTCTGATTTTCTTTACAGCAAATATAAGTACAAATATAAAATTCCCTTTTATTATGCGCTTTTTAAAAAAGTCTTTGTATTAACTTTTTTTTTTAACGAATCAAACCATAATTAATTTCATAATTTTTCATTTTTTAATTTGAAGCATTGATACTTTGCTCTTTGACACGAACGGCTCCCCAATTCAGGGGAAAAAAAAATCTCTAAAGGGTTTCCAGTCAGCTATAAATAAAATCTTTTCTCTAATCAAGCAAGTCAGCCCATCATCTTCCTATATCATGGATAATGCTGGAACCTTTCCATTTTTGAGCATATAATAATCTTCTTGCCTCTTTCCTAAGCAAAACAAATGTCTGGTCCAAAGTCATTCAGCCAGGCTTCATGGTGAAGGCAGGACTAGAACTCCAAGTCCCCTGGTCATTGGCCCAAAGTTACCCAACTAGCGTTCATGCCTGTGGCAGGACTAGAACTCACCGTTTCTTGTCTGTAGGCTGATGGGATCAGCGTAGAAATGCTATGGGTCTTTTTTTTTTTTTAATGCCTTTGAATCAGGGTTGACTCATGGCTACCTCCTGGACAGGTCCCTGCAGTTTTGTTGGCAAAATTGCAGAAGTGGCTTGACAATGGGCAACTTCCAATCTCAGAAGGCTCTCGCAGTGTTTCTCAACCTTGACAATTTTAAGGCATGTGGACTTCAACTCCCAGAATTCCACAGCCAGCAATGCTGGCTGTGGAATTCTGGGAGTTGAAGTCCACATGCCTTAAAATTGTCAAGGTTGAGAAACACTGCGTCTAAAGCCTTTTAATTCCCGGGCTGAATCCCAACAAATTCAATCCAATCAGCTTTATTTGGCTTTATTTAACAACCTCTCCTCAACTCACTAGCAGGGGTAGGCAACCTTGGCTCTTTTATGACTTGTGGACTTCAACTCCCAGAATTCCACGAGTCATAAAAGAACCCAGGTTGCCTACCCCTGCACTAGAGCAGCAAAGCATTTGGGATTGCCTGCTTTTGGAAAGGCTGTTAAGGAAAAGAGCAAAGAAAGTCATTTTCAAGCTGTTTTGGTCTCTTTTAATTGTTGACAAATGCCCGGCATTTCAAAGAAAAGCCCTATGGCAGGGGTCTTCAAATTTGGCCTTTTCATGACTTATGGCAACTCCCAGAATTCCTCAGCCAGCGTGAGGAATTCTGGGAGTTGAAGTCCACGTGTCATAAAAGGGCCAAGTTTGAGGACCCCTGCCCTATGGCCTTGCAAAGGGTTGTTTCAAGTCAATGGGGAATCGTTTAATCTAGAACAGTGTTTCTCAGCCTTGACAACTGGAAGCTGTGTGGACTTTTGACTCCCAGAATTCCCCAGCCAGCAAGGAATTCTGGGTGTCGAAGTACACACTTTTTCAAGGTGCCAAGGTTCAGCCACGTTGTTTCAGAGTCATTCCCCTCAGTGACTGTGGTAATAAAAACAAGGAACACCCTGTGATCAGGTAGGTAGGCTGAACCCTCAGCAAGGATTTTTAAAAGACTGGATCCCTGCAGCGTACAGGTTGTCCTTGACTTATAACACTTCATTTAGTGACTGTTCAAAGTTACAACGGCACTGAAAAAAAGTGATTTATGACCGTTTTTCACACGTGGAACTATTACGGCATCCTCAGGATCACGTGATCAAAATTCAGACATTTAGCAACTGGCTCATATTTATGATGGATGCAGCGTCCCGGGGTCACCTTTTGCAAAGTCAATGGGGGAAGACAGATTCACTTAACAACCAGGTTACTAACTTAAAAGCTGCAGTGATTCACTTAACAACTGGGGCAAGAAGGGTCATTAAAATGGGGCAAAAATCACTGAACAACTGTCTCCCTCAGCAACGAAAGTGTTGGATTCAGCTGTGGTCGTACGTCTGAGGATTACCTCTAAAGCGACTGGGTTTTTAATCTGAAGCACTGATACTTTGCTCTTTGATATGAACAGCTCTCCAAAGATGAGGACGATACAAAGGAGGCTAGCTTAATATTGCCTACTCGCTATTTCCTCAAACTAAGGTTGTCTGGATGAGGGCTAGTGACTCTAAGAACCCAACACGTTTGAAAGATACCATGTCTGAATCACAGAAATGCACCTGTGCAGTTAGAAGATTCTAAATTCAGATTTTGCTCCTGGTTTTCTCTCTCTCTCTCTCTCTCTCTCTCTCTCTCTCTCTCTCTCTCTCTCTCTCTCACTCACTCACTCTCTTTCTCTTTCTCTCTCTCTCTTTGGCAAGGATTGGCTGATAACTCTGGGCTGGGGCCCTTGCAACTCCACCATTCTCACGTCACCCTACTGCCTTGTTGGAATGATCCTGAGAGCTAATTCTTTTCTAAAATATCAAAAAGCACAGGAACATATTGAAATCATTTTCTTTGGGAAGGCGTTTTTCCAAACACAAAATGAGAGAGAGAAAAAAATCTTGCTTAAGCTTACATGTTTTGGCTGCGTTATTATAGTGGAAGAACTTAAATGGTCAAAAAATTTTGGGATATTTATGTGATCTTCACTAAAGCCATAGATGGGGCAAAGCCTTTGATGTATAGTTCAACTCACAATTTCCACTAACAACCAAAATCGTTTTAGTGATCATTTGGGGTTTTTTTTCCTACATAAAAATATTTTTAAAAGTTTTCTTAGCTCTTCCACGCCAACTTGGATAGACTTAATTCCACCAGTGGCATCGGTCTCTCCTTCTGTTGGCATTTGATTTGCTGAAGTGGTTTTATATTAGTTGGAGGATTAAAAATTAGTATGGGCCAAACCTTTGAAAACATTATGAAGTTATAGTATAATATATAATATATTCATTATAATGAAACCTTATGATTAAGAGGAATACAGAGACGAAGGAACAGGAAAAATGAAATTATTATTGTTGCTATTATTATTGTGGTGCCTAGAAGAAATGAAACTTCAAATTCCTCTACGATTTTTTTAAGAAGTTTCTTTGACAGAAGCCATTACAGGAAATGAGTTTTAATTTTGCACTATTGAACAAAAACATGCTAATTGTTGTTGTTGTTTTTAAGGGACTTTGATGTCTACAGCTAATTTGTGACACTCCTGAATGTTGTCATTTACAGATGGAGAAACCAATAATGTTGACATTTGGGAATTGAGTCTCAGTTGTCATGTCGCCACGTAGAAATCTTGCTAAGCCTTCAAATTGTCTCAGAGAAATTCAAATCTAATAGATACGTCAAATTCAGAGTTATGTATATAAAACATTTCAAACTCAAAAGATTATTCTCAGCTTAAAGCCCAGATGTTTTGAGATCAGAACAGTGTCGGAAAAATTCCAATATGTTGAGTTTTTGACGTTCTCAGAGCTTGGTTATTTTCTTGCCGATGTTTCATTACCAGGTTAGAGTCAAAACCAGACAAACAACTGAGTTTAGAGACTATCAAGAACCCAACTGATCAATCTTGAACTACATATCTTTTCTCCTGTTGGACCTTCCAATAAGGTCCCTGTGACCACCCAAAATTTTGGAACTTATTAAAGAAATGGCTGGAAGAAATTTTGCTAATATAGAGGCCAAACCGGAATTTTTTTTATTGGGAATTATAGAAAGAAAATATAAAAAAGATACAAATTATTTATTACTGCATATAGTAACAGCGGCACGAATAGCCTTCGCTCAAAAATGGAAAGAGAAAGATACTCCAAACGAAGAGGAAATATTACTGAAAATTTTCAATTGCGCTGAAATGGATAGACTTACATGGGAACTCAAGGATAAAAGTGAAACTAAGTGCTACAAAATCTGGGAACAATTTTATGATTGGATAGACAATAAGACGGTAGCCAAGACAAATGTACAGTTTTAGAATAAAATATAGAGTATAGACAAACGTATATTTAAAAAATAAATAGATATACAGAAATAAGGGAAAAAGTGTTAATATTGTATTATAAACTAGCTGTACGCAGCCACGCGTTGCTGTGGCTCAAGAAAGAAAAGAGAAAGCGCATGTTTGTAATATGTTTAATTTCGCAATGCTTGTGGATATACAATATTTTTTGTTGATCCATTGTGTGTGCAGATATAGAGATTATATCCAACAGATGGCGCTGTTTTTCCAAAAAAGCATGTTTTACCTGTTTTTCAAAAAAAGCATGTTTTTACCTGTCACAGGTGTGACATCTATATAATATAGGTATATAAAAACACGCGCGCATTCAAATGCAACGTTGTGTCAAAATTTCAAAGCAATGGGTGAAGAACTTTCGGAGATTTAAGATTTTGAACAAACGAACATTTCCATTTTTATTTATACAGCTACTGAGCAAAGCTCAAGAACTTTCTGTCTAGATGAGTACTAATACTACTGTAAAATGTCGGAAGATATATGGAACCAGTGACGTCATATCTATGTCCAATGTGTTTTTAATTTTGTATTATTAATAAAAATTTATAGGAAAAAAAAAAGGTCCCTGTGACCACTTGAAGCCACTGTTTTGAGCTCAAAATGGTTCCAAATATTTTTCACAACCCAGAACAACTTTTTGAAGAATCTTCTTGCTCCAGAAAGTTTTGCTTTGGCTGCAAGTTTCCTCAAGACTTGCAGCCAAGGGTCCTCTTGGGTCAGGAAGAGTTGACCACCTCTCTCTGCAGGCCAAAGCTTGCCTTGACTTCTGCCAAAATGCTCAGCTCGCCCTGAGTGATTGTCCTTCATCTCTTCACAGATATGCCTCCACTGCTGCCAATGGACCTCAAGGGGGAACCTGGACCACCAGGAAAGCCGGGCCCGAGAGGACCACCTGGCCCGCCAGGCTATCCAGGCAAACCGGGCACCGGCAAACCAGGACATCATGGGCAACCTGGGCCTGCTGGGCCCCCTGGCTTTTCTGGCATCGGGAAACCTGGCCTTCCGGGACTTCCGGGCAAGGCTGGCATGAAGGGGATGCCAGGACCGGCAGGAGAGACGGGCCTGCGAGGAGAGCAAGGTCCCCGGGGTTGGCCAGGGCCACCGGGATTGCCTGGGCCCGCTGGACTCTCTGTGAATGGAAAACCAGGCCCAACCGGGAGCCCGGGCCTCCCTGGATTCCGGGGAGAACCTGGGCCCAAAGGAGAACCCGGTCTGCGAGGCGAGCGTGGAGCAAAGGGCGAGAATGGCATGGGGAAGCCCGGACTGATGGGCCCCCAAGGGAATGTGGGACTGCCTGGCCCTGCAGGGCCCCCAGGGCCTCCCGGCTTTGGAAAACCTGGCCTGGATGGGTTGCCTGGGGCTCCGGGGAGCAAAGGGGACTTGGGTCTTCCGGGTGAACCAGGGCTGAGTGGACAACCTGGGCTTATGGGCCCTCGTGGCCCTCCAGGTGTGGATGGCACCGGATTGCCCGGCATAGCTGGCATGCCGGGTTTGCCAGGCCCTTTGGGGGCCAAGGGGGAACCTGGCCTACGTGGCCTTCCAGGGCTGCCTGGCCCTACAGGGTATGGGAAACCAGGGCTCCCTGGCCTAAAGGGGGACCGTGGGCAGCCAGGAGTGACAGGAATAATTGGTGACAAGGGGGAGCCTGGGATGGATGGAGAGCCAGGGGAGATGGGGCCCCCTGGCCTGGTTGGGGGCCCTGGCCCTCAGGGCGTCATGGGTTTGCCAGGCAAGCATGGCCTCCCTGGTGCAAAAGGTGAAGTAGGGCCAAGTGGGCCTATAGGACCCCCGGGCCTGCGGGGAGACCAGGGGCCCAATGGTTTTGTGGGCAAGCCAGGGATTCCTGGGGAGAGAGGGCTCCCCGGTGCCACAGGGATGTCTGGCCCAACAGGCCCCAAGGGGGAAGCGGGTTTCATGGGGCTTCCCGGGACCCCAGGCCCTTCTGGGCCCCATGGGCCAAAGGGAGAGTCTGGGATCCCGGGCCAACCAGGCCTCAGAGGCCCTTCAGGAATACCAGGTTTACAAGGCCCCTCTGGTCCCATGGGGCCCCAAGGATTGACGGGCTTGAAAGGTGAGCCTGGCCCCCCAGGGGCCCCCGGAATCAGCAGAGTCGGACAGCCAGGCATGACAGGTCCTACTGGCCCCCCAGGGGTTCCTGGGAACCCTGGGATCACTGGGCTCCCAGGACCCCCAGGACCCCCAGGGGCCCCGGGAGTCTCCCCTGCCAGAGATTATCAGGGCCACCACTTGCCCGACGGAAATGTTGAGGGAGCAGTGCTGGGCAACGGCAAGTCCGGGAAACCCCAGTTTGGCCGAGGGGAACTCTCTGCCCAGATGTTGCCGGCTTTCACCGCCATCCTGAGTTCACCCTTCCCAGCCTCAGGAATGCCCGTAAAATTCGACAGGACTTTGTACAACGGGCAGAATGGCTATAACCCGGTAACGGGCGTCTTCACTTGCCCTATTTCCGGCATCTATTACTTTGCCTACCACGTCCACGTGAAAGGAACCAACGTCTGGGTGGCCCTGTACAAAAACAACGTGCCGGCCACCTATACTTACGACGAGTACAAAAAGGGCTATTTAGACCAAGCGTCGGGCAGCGCCGTGCTCGAACTCAAAGAAAACGACCAAGTCTGGATCCAGATGCCTTCAGACCAAGCCAACGGTCTGTACTCCACCGAATACATCCATTCTTCTTTTTCCGGATTCCTTCTCTGCCCCACATAACGGCCGTTTGGGAGTAGCTCCTTTCTCCCCTTGAGTCATAAACTTGTCTTTTTTTGAAAAATAAAAAATAAAAAAATAGGAAAGTCACTGGGAAGGATGGTGCGAGCCACAATCACCTTGACCCAGCCAAGGAGAGCATCCGGGAGAGAGAACCGTTGCTGCTGGACCGTCTGGGGATTTGGAATTTGATTTATCCTTATGACGGCATGGCAAGGCAAGGCCACAGAGGCTGCCCATCCCGTCTTCGGGGCTCTTGAAAGTCAGAAAGCTTTTGGGAAAGCTGTGCCAACAACAGTCACCTTTAGCATTGTGGGTTTTCTTCTTCCTTTTTTTTTTTTTTAATCTGCTTAAAGGCACCGTCTTCTGTTGTTTAGCTCTTTTAAAATGTGATTTCGGTCGTTGCCTGAGGCATAACGAAGACCCAGAAGGGTGAATTATGAAATTGTGAAATGCTTTGCTTTAAGCATCTTTTATGCGAGGCTCTGTGTATCTTTCAAGCATCCCGTTCGACGTTTATGGGAAAAGGTATGGCAAAGGAACTCTTATTTCAAAGCCATACAGAGACTTTTAAAATCAACTGGAAAAAAAGCAGGACTCTTTAAATCGTGCGTTTTAATAGCCCATGGGTAAAATAAACCGGTCAAATATCCATCAGATGCAAAGCAGTAGTTTAAATGAATAAATATGCTTCTATGAATCCCGTGGCCCAAAACTATCTGAGTATTAAAGCACTGCAGATATTGGTAATTTTATATATATATAAAATTAACACTGAATTGTGTTAAGTTCAAACACCTTGTTACCATATTTCCTCGGGATCTGCAGATTGTTGATGAAGGTGGCCGTACCAAACTCCATAAAATATACAATATCTTTGTTTTAAAGTAAAATTCTTGGTTTCCCTTCAGTGTAATTTTCACAATGGTGCTAAGTAATATTTTCTTAATATTAGCTCTTTTAAAAGATATTTTGAGTAGTGCAATATCCTTTTTAAAAAGGTGCGAAGTTTAGCCTTGGGGTTTTTGCAGTGTTTTTTTTTTAAAGTAGCCATCTGTACCCTTTAAATACAAAAAAGAAGGGTTTTGTCATCAGAGGCAATAATAGCACGTGAAAAATACGCTAAAGATTCCTTTCTGCATAAATGATGGAGAATATAGCTGGATCTGATGAACTATTCTTTTTACAGATCCAGAAATGGCCAGAGCAACTTAGTATGTTTTTCAAATTTATTATAAACATATACATTTGGACAACTCAACTGCAACAACAACTGCAATCAAGGCTGAATTTGTTGACAAACGTTCTAAGTTGACAAGAGTGAAAAACGACTGTAAAAAGAGCAGCAAAGAAAAATGCTGGGGAATAAAATATTTGGGTTATCTGCTATTTAAAATATTCTACCAACTGTCTTTTTTTTTCTTTAATCCTTTTTAGGAAAAAAAAAAAAGCAACCTTGAACTGATTTGTCTGGTTAGGCACAACAAAAGAACAGGCTAATGCAGTGGTTCTCAACCTTTTTAATGCCGCGACCCCCAACCGGTCGTAAGTCGAGGACTACTCAACCGGTCGTAAGTCGAGGACTACTCAACTGGTGCAGCACCGTTTGCAGAATGGGACTTTTGGCGGGCTCAGCAGGGCAGAGACAGCCTGGACAATTCCTATTGGCTTTTGAAAGCCAATAGAATTAGACTCTATTCAAGAGAGTCTATTCTATTGGCTTTCAAAAGCCAATAGAATAAAAGGGAGTAGCACAGCTAAGGAAAAGGGGGGAAAAAATGGCGGACTGCGTTGTTTGGCGACCCCCGTGAAATGGTCGTTCCACCCCAAATGGGGTCCCGACCCACAGGTTGAGAACCACTGGGCTAATGATTCTAATTCCATCTGGTTGTTTTCTAGATTCCTGAAGTTGACAATAACCCTAATGGCACACTCTAGTACTTGCAACCTTTTCACCTTGGTTTCTCTCCGGCTAAAATTGAAGGAGACGCAGGCACACGTCTTCTCCCGGCCTAATATTCAGAAGCCAGTTTTAAAGGCTTGTTTTTTTAAAGTCTGAATTTTAGAGGTCTTGTTTTAAGTGTATTTTCCTGTGGGGAACAGCCTTTCGGTCCTACTCATCACCCCACTGGCTCAAAGAGAATACATTGAAGTGGAAAACAATGAAGTAGTCTAAGAGCAGAAGAGAATCACATAAATCCAGGTTTTTGCTCTAGGTGCCCGGAATACCATTTATTTATAGCATTGCTCTACTGCACATAAAATCTATTTTCCTATGTATACAGGTAGTCCTTGACTTACGACCACAAATGACCCCCAAATTTTCTGAGGTTAAGACAGTGGTTAAGGGAGTTTTGCCCCCTTTTACGACCTTGTTGCCACAGTTGTTAAGTGAATCACTGCAGTTGTTAAGTGAACTTTGCTTCCCTATTGACGTTGCTTGTCCGAAGGGACGTGCCAACCATCATAAATACATGCCAGTTGCATTCAAGCATTCAAAATTTTGATCACGTGACCATTAGGGATGCTCCTAAATGCGAAAGATGGTCACTTTTTTCAGTGCCACTGTAACTTCAAATGGCCACTAAATAAATGGTTGTTAAGTCGAGGACTACCTGTGTTTGTCACTTGTGTGTCGACAAGACCCAAAGCAAAGTCAGTAGACAACATTTTCTCCAAATTCGAGAAGCAGGGAAAAGATTTCCAAAGTTTTACAATTTTTTTCCCATACGAAGCACAACCTTCTGTATGTATGCATAATAAACATAACCCCCCCAAAAAGCAGCCATCACATACAGGACGATGAAGCGTAGGCTGAAGAGACTAATTAGCAGACCATCCTTAGTTTATCTTTGTTGACATATACAGTGTCTAATCTTTTTGTCAGAAAAGATTGGGTTTTTCCCAATTTGGGAGAACTTGTGGGAAATGAGTTTCAGTCAGCCGAAAACTGCAGGCCTTACGACGTGCATCTTCATATACCATTGGGATGTCCTTTAGAAAAAAAATTGTGCTAGTATCTTTGTTTCTACTATATAGAGGATTTTTTTTCTTGTTTAGTTTTGTAAATACTTATGTTACATGCACTGTTCATAGTAAATTCGTTTTGAAATGCACTCTTGTTTTGTGATCAGAAACTGGCCTTTACTTCTGAACCGAAATTAAAGTAATTGACTGTATTGATCCAACTTCAATAAATCTTATTTTACAGAGATTTGTATTTCCAGTAATCACCTGCAAACATGTGGACCTATCTTGACAACTTGTCTACAGAGCAACCCACCTTTAGGCCCATACATTGTGAAAGAAAGAAAAAAAGCAGATGGCTGCTAAGGCCACAGGCATGCAATTATCTCTCTAGTTAAGGACCAGCGTTGATTGCAAGCTTGGGATAGTCCTTGGAATTCTTTTGGTTAATCAAAACAAGGAGTGAAAAACAATTTCAGAGATTTGTTCAAGCCAGGGGGAAGCCAAATCTAGACACCTGGCTTGGCTTTTCCCATTTTTTAAAAAAAATCTCTTATGATTCTTTTAACCGCCTTTTTTTTTTGTACCCCTGTGGGTCTACATCAGTGTTTCTCAACCTTGACAATTTTAAGGCATGTGGACTTCAACTCCCAGAATTCCACAGCCAGCATTGCTGGCTGTGGAATTCTGGGAGTTGAAGTCCACATGCCTCAAAATTGTCAAGGTTGAGAAAAACTGGTCTACATGGATTAATAATACTTTTGGCCTGAAGTCTTCTGTGAAAGGAGGGTTTTTTTAATGAAAAGAAAAACATCGCTTTGAATCTCTCTGCCTCTTCCACCCAAATTGCCAATTTTCTGCTCATCCTGGGGAGAAACCATGTTGAACTATCTGAAGGCAGACATGGACTGGACTTCAGAACAGCTGCTGAGAGCCGCCTCCTCCCTCAATGGGCAGACCTGTCAAGGTCTTCCTGGACTATACTTGATATTATCACCCCTAACAAAGTAGTTGGCCTCTCCAACGTGTTGCCTCCCTAGACTCCGAAAACAGCCCTAAAGCCATCTTGCTAAGTTGGGCATCCCAACCCGAAAGAGCTGGCCCTTTTCGCCTGATGTCAGCCTTTCCAGATAGACCAGACCTACAAGTCCTGAATACTAAAATTATTTTTATTATAGGGATTTTTGTCTTGGTTTTGACTTCTGGCAACAACTACCTGGAGAGGTCCCTGCAGTTTTCTTGGCAAGATTTCAGCCACCGCTTCTTTCCAAAGGCTGAGAGGGACTGGGCCAAGGTCACCCAGTTGGATTGTGCTCCAGGTGGGACTAGAATTTACAGTCTCCTAGTTCCTAGTCCAGGGCCTTAATTACTACACCAAAGCAGCTCTCATTATAGGGTTGTTGTTGTTGTTAATTGCGAAGTCGTGTCCGACCCATCGCGACCCCATGGACAACGTTCCTCCAGGTCTTCCTGTCCTCTACCATCTTCTGGAGTCCATCATTATAGGGTTACAGTAACAGAATCCTGCAACTCTCCCCTCCCTGCCTTTATCCAAAACAAAAAATGGAGAGGTTCCAGCCTGGTAACACTTTCTCAAATTCCATCCCTGTCTCGGGCTGAGATTTCGTATCCGACATTGTCTTGGTTGCAGCTATTCCTCAAAGCAGCCCATTTCATCTGATACGTTCAGAATCGGAGAGAGAAGCCACAACACCAATGTTCATCCTTTGAAGGGGGTCTAGATCCCGATCTTTAGGAAGGCCAGCGCAGCCAAAGCTTTGTGGCTTTGTTCCATTGAGAGGATCCCCCATCCTTCTTCTCTACGACAGTTGGAGGATCCATCCAACCCCGCTCTGTGAGGACCAAAACTGTGCTTAGGCATTCCACGGCTGCAAAGCAAAGGTGATTTGGGATAGTGCTTGGTGCGCTCTGAGCTGGGTTGTTTTCTTGCAGATGTCTCATTACCCAACTAGGTAACTTCATCAGTGTTGGTAAGGAGTGGGTTGAGAAGTTATTTTTTTTTTGTTTCAAAAGTGCTTCTGTATCAATGGTCCAATTTAGCATGCATTATGTATGAATGCCAAACTGTCTACGTGTCTATCTTTTCAACTGCAGCAATAAGATTTGCTTACTTTGTGGCAATTGAGCTTTTATCCTTTTTCCCCCCCTTCTCCTATAACTTAAGACTGGGTAAAATAAATCACTTCCCAACTCCTTCCCTTGAATTCTTCACCTTTCCCTAATTGAAATGGCTCTACTAAACTCCCCAGAGACTATTAACTGTTAATTTGATTGCCTTGTGTGCCATTAGCCTCAATTACATTTGTTAAATTCCCCATAGTTTCTTAACTGCTTAGTAATTTGATTGCCTTGCGTGATATTAACCTCAAGTAGGACTGATTGCTAATGAGACTTTCACTTTTCAGCTGCCAAATGCTTAAGCTCGATTAACAGCAGCTATGGCCTAACAAAACTGGCACTCTAGGAGTCTCCAAATCCACCTGTCTAGTGGAAGGTGTGTACCTGATCAACCCAGTGTGCCTTTCCTGGCTTCCATTATCAGCGCATCCAATGCACTTTTATACTACAGTAAATGCCTTAGTATCTATTTATTTATTTGTTTATTAAATCTATATGCCACTCATTTCACTATTGAAGTGACTAGCTATTAGTGTTTGCAGAGATGGGATTAGTATCTCTATTAACAACACCCTCTTATACACCTGATACTATCAGAGGTGGACTGACAGGGCAGGAAGTGTTACAAAATACCCTGGCTCAACTTATAGTTGCTTACTCTACTCATGAGGCCAATGGAGACACATGGATCCATCTTAGTTGTTAAAAAAGCCACACAATTTATTAATGCCAGCATTATATTCAATGCATTTCTGGTAATCAAAGACACATGTTCCAACTGCCCATAGAAGCAGCTTGTGCAGCTTGGCTTGACTCTCAATCTAATAGCTGGGTTAAATTGCAAACTTACATTTTTGTCCTTTGACTTTGTCCAAACTTTGGCCAATCTCAGTTCTTCTTCTAGGGTGAGGATCTGTTTGGCAAACTCTCATGAAGCCCACCTGCTGCAGAGAAAACACCCGGGACGACGAACTAAACAGAATTTAGATTCTAACTAAGACGTAATTACAAAAATTTCAAAATTAGGAAAACGAAACAGCCAGGAGAAAATGATGGGTCAACAGTGACCGTGCAGCTGAAAAGAAGTGGCACTTTTCAACATGCGGCTTCAGCAGAAATCTTTGGCAGGCAGCCATTCACGATGGCCTGGGCCAGGGGTAGGCAACCTTGGCTCTTTTATGACTCGTGGACTTCAACTCCCAGAATTCCTGAGCCAGCCATGCTAAGGGGAAAGAGAGAGGTTTCCATGCTAAGCCATGCAGGCTCAGGAATTCTGGGAGTTGAAGTCCATCAGTCATAAAGCGGCCTATGCCTAGGCCAGGGGTAGGCAACCTTGGCTCTTTTATGACTCGTGGACTTCAACTCCCAGAATTCCTGAGCCAGCATTGTTCAGCTTGGAAACTCTCCATTTCTCCTCAGCATGGCTGGCTCAGGAATTCTGGGAGTTGAAGTCCATCAGTCATAAAGCCACCTAGGCCTAGGCCAGGGGTAGGCAACCTTGGCTCTTTTATGACTCATGGACTTCAACTCCCAGAATTCCTCAGCCAGCATGGCTCAGCTTGGAAACCTCTCCCTTTCCCCTCAGCATGGCTGGCTCAGGAATTCTGGGGGTTGAAATCCACGAGTCATAAAAGAGCCAAGGTTGCTTACCCCTGGCCTGGGCATTTTGAGGGAGGAAGAGAAACTTTACTATTGTGGAGACGATTCTCATCCTTAGGAACATGATGCCAAAATGCAGACCCGGTGACCGGATGCCCAATCTTCATTAATGGCTCAAGCTGACTGGTGGTAGCGTTCACATAAGGCATCAGCCAGCTTCTCTGCCTCCTCATAGGCTTCGCAGCTCTCTTTCCAACTTGGGGGCACCTGCTCTTCCCCGTAAAACGCTCCTGCCATAGCTCCCGCCATGGTTGCAATCGTGTCTGTGTCCCCGCCCAGCAAGATGCAGTACATGATGGTCCGTTGCAGACAGTTGTAGCTATCGGGGACATCTGGGTGAGATTCCATGCAGCGCAGGAAAGAGTAGATTGCCGTGGGGACAGAATGCAGGGCTGCAATGCCATTGCCTGCGTTGAATCAAAAGATTCAATTACTTTTAGAGAGCAGAGAGCAGGTCTAGTTTTCTGCCACAAGTGAATGCAAAGTGAACCAGACCACCTAAAAACAAATATTGTATAGCAGGGGTCTTCAAACTTGGCCCTTTTATGACTTGTGGACTTCAACTCCCAGAATTCCTCAGCCAGCATGCCTGGCTGGGGAATTCTGGGAGTTGAAGTCCACACCTCTTAAACTATCCGAGTTTAAGAATCACCAGTTTAGCTCTTTCTGAGTTAGCATTATTTCCCCCTCACATTATGTCAGGGGTCTTCAAACTTGGCCCTTTTATGACTTGTGGTCTTCAACTCCCAGAATTCCTCAGCCAGCATGCCTGGCTGGGGAATTCTGGGAGTTGAAGTCCACACCTCTTAAACTATCCAGGGTTGAGAAACACCAGTTTAGCTCTTTCTGAGCTAGCATTATTTCCCCCTCACATTATGTCAGGGGTCTTCAAACTTGGCCCTTTTATGACTTGTGGTCTTCAACTCCCAGAATTCCTCAGCCAGCGTGCCTGGCTGGGGAATTCTGGGAGTTGAAGTCCACACCTCTTAAAATATCCAGGGTTGAGAAACACCAGTTTAGTTCTTTCTGAGTTAGCATTATTTCCCCCTCACATTATGTCAGGGGTCTTCAAACTTGGCCCTTCGATGACTTGTGGACTTCAATGCCCAGAATTCCTTCTCACAGTATCCCGCACAGAAATTAAGGCTTTGTTCATTAGTCCACCACGATACTTAAGGATGTCACATCTCAGTTATTTTCTACGAAACACACTGCAGCCTTTCTTCGTGCAAAACGGAAGAGCGAGTTATTTCTTGTAACAATTTCACTATCCCTCGTATTGAAGAACGCACTTACCTAATTCTAGTAGCACGTCTGACCTGGACACACTGCCCTGTTCCAAAAACTCTTTGATCTTCTTCAAACGCTTGGAAAAGGGACGATCCTCGTACCCCAGCCTGGTGAGAAGACACAGAGTGTAAGGACCCCCTTGTATCCTACATCTTAAGAAAGCGGAATGCTTGGAAACAACTTCTGTGATGACCCAGGGCCCCGAACGGAGGCAAAGCAATTAGCTGGTCAGAACAATTGTCTTTGTGAGAACTGCCAACGTTCACCCAACAGCCCCCACATATGCTGGCACAAGTTCAATAAAACAGTCCATGGAGTTAAACAGTTCTTTAAAGTAAATCAGATAACAAAGTATGATCTTTTCAACGCCCAGCTTGCCTGTAACCTGCAAACTGCAAAACTGAGGATAGCAAGGAGAAATCAACAGGAAGCAAACTTGGTCCAAAATACAAAGTGTCCAGGTACAAGAGCACACTATCACAAGAATTCACGTTTGTTCCTGGCAAATGCCCCACCCCACAGCATCTCCTTAAATCCTACTCCCCAGGTGTGCCTTGTGGAGTGGGGCGGGATGCTCTCCTCCCGAGCAAGTGAGCCTGCCTCCGTTGTTCCCTCCTCCTCTCTGCTCTCCTTGCTCTGGGATCTGGTGGGGAGGGGCCTTGCTCCTCGCCTGAGCTCTGCCTTCCCTGTTCCAAACTTGAAGGGCCCTGATCTGCCTCAGCTGCTCCTCCCCACAGTCCTCCGAAGCCACAGACACCCCCTCCTGGGCCTCAACAGGGAACTCCATGTCATCCTCAGAGTCAGGCTCAGACGGAGGCATGACAACTTCTTCCAACAGGAACTTTTATTAAGAGTAGTTGATAGCAGGCATAATAGACAGGATCTGAGGAATCTACAGATCGATTATTTGAAAGTGTCCCTAAGCCTAACCCCACCCCACAGTTCATCTGGATGATTCAGACTGGCCAATCCCCAGGTGTTAAGTTCATCATGGGAAAGGGGAGATAACATCAATCCGGCTCTGTTTGTAGTGCGATGTTCTACAGCTCTTCACACCTCCTTTTGAGAACGGAGAGATAAGCCAGGCTCCGGAGGTTTGTACTTCTTCCTCCCCACCTTTTCCTGGCTGCCCCGTTAGGGAAAAGAAAGTTCAGAGAGATGCATAGTGCAGGTGGCAATTTGTTACATTGTAATGGATAGCAGACATGGAGTCAATAAACAAAAGGTGACAATGTAGCAAATAGAGGAAGTGAAAGCTATAAACCGCATCCATATCCCTCCTCCCCCTTGGAAGTATGGCAGAATCCAGGGAAAGGTGAGATTTGATTTTAGATCAGAGGAGATAGATAGAAATGGGATATAACTGGATGCTGACACAGAAGTAAAATATTTCTGGGTGCCACCCCCTTGTATTATAATGTTGATACTACTGTTCTTACATGCGTGCATCAGCCACAGACTTATCGTCCGCTTCCACATCTTCCATTTGGCCTATTAGCTGATCCAAAAACTTGTACCGATCTGACTCCCCGCGGAGGGCAAAATGGACCGCCAAGGCTTGCAAGATGGCGCCGTTGTAGCCCAAGGAGTTTGCGTGGGTCAGCTCGGCACTCAGTTTAGCAAACTGGAGCGAGAGAAAACAACTGTTTTAGAAAAACAGGAAAACTTAAAATTAGTGGAGAGGCGGCTTCCTTTACTATCTTAGCCCAGGTAGCCCTCGACCTACAACCTCAACTGAGCCCCAAATTTATGTTGCTAAGCGAGACATTTGTTAAGTGAATTTTGCCCCGTTTTACGACCTTTCTTGCCACGGGTGTTAAGTCAATCACTGCAATTGTTAAGTTACTAACACGGTTGTTAAGTGAACCTGACTTCCCCACGGACTTTGCTTGCCAGAAGGTCGCAAAAGGGGATCACACTTAGGACAGGACACTGCAAGCGTCGTAAGTACGAGTCAGTTGCCAAGCGTCTGAATTTTGATCACGTGAACATGGGGATGTTGCAACGGTTGTAAGTGTAAGAAATGGTCATAAGTCATTTAAGTTACTTAATAATCGTCTCACTTAGCAGCAGAAATTTTGGGCTAAATTGTGGTCATAAGCTGAGGACTATTGGTATTAAGATTTAGATTTTCACAGTGGTTTACAATTTTCACTCGAGTAATTCAATTAATACTTTAATCAACGAAAGAAATTTTAAATTGTACTATTTACAATCTGTACTATTTATTTACTGATATTTTATTTCCCACCCGTTATTCTCTTTCATCATTTTTTTTATTTTCATAGAGCAATTCTACATGATTGGGCATGTACATCTGACACGCATGTTTGGCTTGCTGATTCTCAGATGGACACCTAAAAACAAGGCCATATATGCAGAATGTGTGTTTAAGGAAAAGTGCACTGTGCATTTAATCTAGAAACTTCTCAAATATGTCTTAATTTGTTAAACATCTTGGATGAACATCTACCGCCGTAAAGGTGCTAAAATCTCCTTTGTAACTCCAGTCCCCTAATCATCTCTTTGTTGCTCTTTTCTGTACTCTTTCTAGAGTCTCAACATCTTTTTTTACATCATGGTGACCAAAACTGGATGCAGTATTCCAGGTGTGGCCTTACCAAGGCATTGTAAAGTGGTATTAATACTTCACGTGATCTTGATTCTATCCCTCTGTTAATGCAGCCCAGCACTGTGTTGGTTTTTTTGGCAGCTGCAGCACATGACTAGCTCATATTTAGGTGATTGTCTACTAGGACTCCAAGGTCCCTCTCATAGTTACTACTATTGAGCAAGGTGTCACCTATGCTGTATTTGTGCATTTGGTTTTTCTTGCCTAAATGTAGAACCTTGCTTTTTTCACCATTGAATTTCATTTTGTTAGATAGTGCCCAGTGTTCAAGTCTGTCCAGGTCCTCCTGTATCTTAAGCCTGTCTTCTGGAGTGTTGGCTATTCCTGCCAGCTTAGTGTCGTCTGCAAATTTGACGAGTTCCCCGTCTATCCCCTCGTATAAACTGACAATGAACTGCATTCCTTACTAGCACTGATATTACCTAGTTTGGGTAATGAAATATCTGCAAGAAAACAAGCAATCTCAGAGAGCACCAAGCCCCCCTCATGTCAACGCCAAGTTACAAATATTCTCCTTTATTAATTCCTGGACTGTCCCTTACATGTGGTTCCCAAACTAGCTAATATGATGATACAAATCGAGAGACAATTCCAAATCAAAATTCCACCACTGGGGCATATCCTAACTTGTTACATCAAACAGGATTGCAGTATGTCAAATGCCATGTAAATAGCTGGTGTGGCATCTAAAGCAATTAACTCACCTTCTTTACATCTTGAACATCGGAGTAAGCTAATGAAATGCCTGCTACTCTCATGGCACCACCGTTCCCATAGGAACCTTTCCCGTTAAACTGCTGCCTTGCTGGCTCAAACACATCCCGGCATTTAGGACTAAGCAGTTTCTTGAAGACAGTCACCACGCCGCCTCCATAGGATCGGTCAGGATCCTTGTCATATTCTTCAGCGAACCTGCCAGGAGAAGATGTTTTGTTACAAAACAGTCCTCTGACATTCTGTCTGCTTGGTAAGACGCTAACAACGGGAGAAGGCTGCTTAATTAAGGGATATAGATAAAGCACTAAGGATTCGTTTAATCCATTTACGGGGATATGAACGGATCACACTAATTCACAGCTCTGTTGTTATTTCTAAGATTTTGATGATTTAGCCCCGTGGCATGCAGAGCCCTCTCTGTGGGCACGCGCACCGTCACCCCAGTCCTAGGCCTTCAGCTGGGTTTTATAAAACCTTTTTGCTTTAGGCCTCCGTCACTGTATGCAAAAAAAAAAGTTCAATCAATCAGTTTTAACTTCTTGCGGGGAAAAAAAAAGATCTCGCAAAGTTGGAATTTATTGAACTTTTTGCCATTACCACCGAAGCCACGCTCACTCAATGGGTCACGCCCACCCAATTGGCCACACCCACCCAGCACCCAACGATACATAAGTGGGTTTTGGGTTGCAGGTTGGGCACTCGGTCTCTAAAAGGTTCGCCTAGAGCAGTGGTTCTCAACCTTTTTAATGCCGCGACCCCCAACTGGTCGTAAGTCGAGGACTACTCAACCGGTCGTAAGTCAAGGACTACTCAGCTGGTGCAGCACCGTTTGCAGAATGGGACTTTTGGCGGGCTCAGCAGGGCAGAGACAACCTGGACAATTCCTATTGGCTTTTGAAAGCCAATAGAATTAGACTCTATTCAAGAGAGTCCATTCTATTGGCTTTCAAAAACCAATAGAATAAAAGGGAGTAGCACAGCTAAGGAAAAGGGGAAAAAAAGATGGCGGACTACGTTGTTTGGCGACCCCCGTGAAATGGTCGTTCGACCCCAAATGGGGTCCCGACCCACAGGTTGAGAACCACTGGCCTAGAGTGACTGTTTCCAAAACATCTCTTTCAAGCTCAACTGGACCATGAGAGATAAACAATGGGAAGGGAACAAGGGAGAAAAGTTAACTGGGAAAATTCTGGCATGAACCCTCAGTTCTGTCTTTGCACCACTGTAATTTATTTGACTTCTAATAAACTATACCTTTCTCAACAAATGGAATTAAAGATCATTTTTACTTAGAAGCCCAAGTTGAGGCAGGTCTGACCGCTGGCTTGTTTGTGTAGATCAGGGGTAGGCAACCTGGGCTCTTTTATGACTCGTGGACTTCAACTCCCAGAATTCCTGAGCCAGCCATGCTGAGGGGAAAGGGAAAGGTTTCCAAGCTGAGCCATGCTGGCTCAGGAATTCTGGGAGTTGAAATCCACGAGTCATAAAAGAGCCAAGGTAGCCGACCCCTGGTGTAGATGAACAGGCTGAGCCTGAGGGAGGGGTCAAACGCATCATCAGTCATGAGTCCCTTTGAGATGTAAGTGCAGCCCACTTTGAATTCCTTTGACTTTTATCTACCCTCAATTTGCTTTGACCATTAGTAGTTCAGATTCTTATAGCTTGCAATAAATCTTTATACTCATTTGAATTGCCTGGATCTTCTGATTTCCCGGGCACTTGCCAGTTCATGTTTCAGTATATTGTGCCAGAATAGATCCATATCAGCCTACTCATGATGAGTATTTTACAGCTGTTCCAACATTACTTTTCACCTGGACTCATAAAATACAGGCACAGCAACAGGAGGGGCTGGAGGCGAAGAAAATGCAAGATACCAAGAGTATCTGGGATATGTTCTCTGCCAACACAAAGATCTGGGAATGCGATGCTGCTTATTCCATGAGAATAGAGAGGCCTGTTTTATTTTTTCCACCATACCAAGCAAACCTCTCAAAGGCAAATCTCATTTATATTAAAAGTTGAATAAGTCCGCATTGCACAATTTTCATGCCATCAAATTCATACCTCTACCTAATCCAGGGGTAGGCAACCTTGGCTCTTTTATGACTGGTGGACTTCAACTCCCAGAATTCCTGAGCCAGCCATACTGAGGGGAAAGGGAGAGGTTTCCAAGCTGAGCCATGCTGGCTCGGGAATTCTGGGAGTTGAAGTCCACAAGTCATGAAGAGGCCATAGTTCCCCCATGCTGGCTCAGGAATTCTGGGAGTTGAAGTCCACGAGTCATAAAAGAGCCAAGGTTGCCTACCCCTGACCTAGTCCAATAGTTATTTCCTCTGTCTAGAAAGAGCCACATTCCTTACCTCTTTGCCATATCCACTTCATCAAAATCTTTCGTGGCCAATAGTGACCTAACTAGCGAGTGGGCCAAGGCTGTGTCATCACTGTAACAGAGGATTTCTGGGGAGCAAACAATAAAAGCAATATATATTATACACAGAGAGTCATAGCTATGTATGCAACTCACTTTTATTTTATTTTCAAAGAAATTGAATCAGCAGTTTTGTTCTTCTTGATCACAATAGCCCTTTGCAGACACTCAGTGGCTCACACCGAAAGCTAAGATACGTAGACATAGTCACTAAGTTACAATATAGTTTTAAGTTATGATAGCATGTCGGTTACGTGACTGACCCAATTTTATTATCTTTTTTTGTGGTGGTTGTTAAATGAATGCCACAGTTGCTAAACAATCCCACGGTTTGCTATGGCCCAATTTTGTTGAAAATAGGAAATAAATGGTGGGTTTCAGCAAAATCTTCGTAAAATGTGGTCATGTGGGATGCTGCAAATGGTCATAAATGCAACCCAGTTGCCTAGCGCCTGAAATGCAGTCACATGACTGTGTGAGGGGGAGTCATTGGAACTGCTAATCCAGGTTGCAGATATACCCCAAGAAGGCCTGCCATAACTTTGAATGGTCACAAAGCAATTGGTTGTAAGACAAGGATACAGAGGCATGGGTAAATATGAAAACCCATCGCTATGCCTCTGTACGTCTGGACGCTCCCCCCAAAAAATCTCCTTGAATTTAATATGAAGATTCAAAGGGAACCGTACAGCCTTTGGATCAAAACAATGTTTATCCAAAACCGAGGCTACTGAAAAGTAGTCTGGAGTCCATTATTCCTCACCTCACCTTAAAAGTAAACAGGAATGTTGCCATTATTTTTCTTTTTTAGCTCAACTCCTAAAAGTGAATCGCAGAAAGAAAAACTGAACAAAATTGAAAGAGGGCAAATTAATTCTAGCATTGTGGTCACGAAGTGATTCATTCTTCTCGGGCTGCAATTTTGTCATATTAAACACCAGAAGTTTAATAAAATCTAACGAACTTTTATTATGTCATGTTTTAATTATATTTTAAAAGTATATAATTTTAATATCTGAATTATCATAATATTAAATAATTATTTTAACTATAATGTTTGAAAATTTAATAATTTAAATAAAATAATACTTTCAGAAGTTTGGCTGATGTTTAGGAAACATTTTTTATTAAATGCAATTTGGCAATACTGCACTAATATTACCTGCATCCTAATTTTCAAACAGTATTATGGTAAATAAAGTAATGGTAGTATCACTCTTAATAGTGGTATAATACTTTCTCCTTGTCGTTAAAGGGGTAGTTGTCGCATTGATGAATCAATCTACCAATTTGTTTAATAAACATAAATCTGGCAAACTGACATGAATATTGTTAACTTTAGTCACAATAACTTTACATGCAGTTATTGCTAATTTAGGCGAGCATTTACGAAACATTGATTTGGCAAGACAGAAACCACAGCAATTGTTCCTGTTTGCATATCTAGGAAGTAATCTCTGCCCTATTTGGTGATGCAATGTCACAAATTTAACCACACTTTTATCCTTCTTAGTTACCCATAATTACAAGAACAGTGGAGAAGGCAGCAAAAGCAGCCTCAACCTTTTACATCTGGAAAGGTCTCATCTCTCCCCCTCTCACTTTGCCCTTCCCACCTTGGGAAGGGAACAAGAATTAAAGCAGCAATCAGGACTTTTAGACATCATCATCATCATCATCATCATCATAATAATAATAATAATAATAAAAGAAAGAGACCGAGGGACTAATTCTGGCTGCACAAGACCAAGCCTTAAGGACAAATGCATACAAAGTCAAAATTGAGAAGACAGCAAAAGACAATAAGTGCCGCCTATGCAAAGAAGCTGAAGAAACAGTGGACCACTTGGTAAGCTGTTGCAAGAAGATTGCACAGACTGATTACAAGCAGCGGCATGACAAAGTAGCAACAATGGTGCATTGGAAGATCTGCAAAAAATATCATTTGCCTGTAAGCAAAAACTGGTGGGATCATAAAATAGAGAAAGTCATAGAAAATGATAAAATTAAACTGCTCTGGGACTTCAGAATTCAAACAGACAAGCACCTGCAACATAACACCCCAGACTTAACAATTGTCGATAAGAAAGACAAAAAAGTCTGGATAGTGGACGTGGCAGTGCCTGGAGATAGCAGAATAGAAGAGAAAGAACTGGAGAAGATAAGAAAATACAAAGACCTACAAATAGAAATAGAAAGACTGTGGCAAAAGCAAGCAAGGGTAGTACCAATAGTAATAGGCTCCTTGGGTGCAATCCCAAAACAACTGGAGCACCACTTGAACACCATTGGCATTGACAAATTCGCTATTAGTCAATTGCAAAAGGCGGCCTTACTAGGAACTGCTTCCATCCTGCCACGATATCTGTAATACCATCAAACATCCACATCTGCCTATCCCAGGTCCTGGGTAAGGACTCGATAGATAGACAAAATGCCAAATCCAGTCTGAACATCTGGCTGACTGTGCGATGATCCATAATAATAATAATAATAATAATAATAATAATAATAATGATGATGATGATGATGATGATGATGATAAGGAGAAGGAGGAGAAGGAGAAGGAGGAGAAGAAGAAGAAGAAGAAGAAGAAGAAGAAGAAGAAGAAGAAGAAGAAGAAGAAGAAGAAGAAGAAGAAGAAGAAGAAGAAGAAGAAGAAGAAGAAGAAGAAGAAGAAGAAGAAGAAGAAGAAGAAGAAGAAGAAGAATAGACAGGTATTAAATAATAAAATTATAGTTATTTATTAAAATATAAAAAAATAAGGAAATGAAATAAGAACATGAAACACACAATGAAAACTCAAAAGTAAAACAAATAATAAAGTAAAAGAAGTGCAGGGAGTATCAGGGGTAAGCAACCTTGGCTCTTTTATGACTCGTGGACTCCAACTCCCAGAATTCCTGAGCCAGCCAAGCTGGCTCAGGAATTCTGGGAGTTGAAGTCCACGAGTCATAAAAGATCCAAGGTTGCCCGCCCCCTGGCCAGTAATCCAAGCAGAAAGTCCTCACTCGAGTCACCCTTGTGGGGGAGGGGAAGGATCTCGCCCAGACCCCGAGGCAGCCACCCACTGGATCCCCAGGCCGTCCCGCTCTGCTCACTCGAAACCCGCCCGCCTTCCGACTTTCCGCCGCCGCCGCTGCTCTCCTCGCCCGGCTCCGCGGCAGAGCCTCCCCGGGGCGGCGACGGCAGGGCACGCACGAAGCGGAGCAGCTCGGCCGCGCTGACCGACTCCCGCGCCTCAAAGCCGCCGCCTAGGCAGTCGCCCAGCAGAGCCCCGAGCAAGCAGCCTCGGCAGCGGCTCCGCCTCAGCAGAGAGACCTTGGCCGCCATCTTGCGTTGAGGGGGCGGGGCCTCTGCCCGGTCCCGCCTCCTTTCTTTGCTCCTCTTCCGCCAGGTAAGGCGCGCTGTCCGGCGAAGCCCCGCCCCTTCTCCGGACTCTCCTTGCCGGCCTCCAGATGTGCCAGATGTGGGCAGGGAAAGCGGGAATGAGGAGATGCGCCCTCCTTTTGATCCTCATGCCCTCCTTCGTTGGCCTGGAGATTATGACAGGTGGACCTCGACTTACAACCGTTGAGTGATCGTTGGAAGTTACAACCTCAGTGGAAAAAAAAGGGACCACTTTTCACACTTATGACCATTGCAGCATCCCCGTGGTCACGTGATGCTTGGCAATTGGTTCATATTTATGACAGTGGCAGCGTCCCCAGATCATGTGAACACCTTTTGGGATCTTCTGACAAGCAAAGTCCATGGGGGACATATCATCATCATCATCATCATCATCCTAGCCATGGTCTGTCCATTGCAGGATAATGATGATGATGATGATGATGATGATGATGATGATAAAGTTGGAAGGGACCTTGGAAGTCATCTAGTCCAACCCCCTGCTCAGGCAGGAAACCCTATCCCATTTCAGACAAATGGCTGTCCAGTCTCTTCTTAAAAACTTCCAGTGTTGGAGCATTCACCGCTTCTGGAGGCAGGTTGTTCCACTGGTTAATTGTTCTAACTGTCAAGAAGTTTCTCCTTAGTTCTAGGTTGCTTCTCTCCTTGGTTAGTTTCCATCCGTTGCTTCTTGTCCTGCCTTCAGGCGCTTTGGAGAACAGCTTGACTCCCTCTTCTTTGGGGCAGCCCCTGAGATATTGGAACATGGCTATCATGTCCCCCCTCGTCCTTCTCTTCATTAAATTAGACATACCCAATTCCAGCAACCGAAGCCAGATTCACTTAACGGCAGGGTTAAATTAACAACTGCAATGGTTCACTTAGCAACCGTGGGAAGAAAAGTCGTGAAATGGGACAAAACTCACTTAGCAACATAAACGCTGGGCTCAATTATGGTGGTAAGTTGAGGAGTACCTATTTTCCAGTGTTTTGGGCTTCACGAGGTCTTTCTGAAATGTTTCCACAACAGGATCCAAGCTGTGTTAGTCTTCTGTTTGCACAACTCTGGTCAATCAAACTCCTGTGCCTCCTTACCTTGTAAATTGTTTCCTTCCTCACTTTCCAGTGATAGGTTTATATGAATTAATTTATTTCCTGTGTCCAGCCAACCACTTCAACCCAGGTCCTTGGGATCGAGTTGTCCATGTGCACTCAAGCTTTCTTGCAAACAAACCCATCGCAAAATCTGGAGACTGGAATACTTCAGTACCCTACTTAAGTAGACCACATTAACCTCATCTTTCGAAGGGAGAGAAAACTCTTCAATGGGATGGAAATTCAGGAGTTCTCTCCGACAGATTTCTTCCCACCACCGGGCACAAGTTGAAGCAAGCTTGTCAGAAATCTCAAGGAGCATCAAAAACCACTCGTGAATCTTAATGGCTTGACCACACCTGTAGCCAAGGGCAGCCTTTTTAATGAGTCATCCAATTTTTTTTTTAAGCAATATAACCAAAGATGTGAGAATCAAATAAAGAGCAAATACACAACTCTGGGAAGGGGCAAGGAGAAAATGACTTGAGTCATTCTCATCCAAGGCAGACAGTAGCCTTGGTCAGTCCTGGGAACACCTACGATGTTCTCAGTTATCCTAGGCCAGCTCCAGTTGCCGGCTTTTGAGAGGTGAGAGAGTACGGTTGGTCGTGCGGTTGAAAGTGTCCACTTCTGGCACAAATTTCTCAGCCGGAACCGTCAGCTTTCGCCTGCCATCCATACACTTGTTATCTAGCACCAGAGAGTTCATCTTGTAGGAAATATCTGTCTGGATGCGGTACAGGTGCTTATAGAGGGCATCCAGAGCATCCCTGCAAAAATGAAAAAAAGAGGGTTATACCTAGACACAACATCCTGCCATGCTCAGAAGGAAATGCACAAAATCTGCACGGATATCCTTAACTATATCACCGTTGAAGAATAAAGTGGAAATAAAATACAGACCCCCCAATGTCACTGACTTATTCTATATAACAGTGGTTCTCAACTTGTGGGTCGGGACCCCATTTGGGGTCGAACGAGCATTTCACGGGGGTCACCAAACAACACAGTCCGCCATTTTTTTCCCCCTTTTCCTTAGCTGTGCTACTCCCTTTTATTCTATTGGCTTTTGAAAGCCAATAGAATGGACTCTCTTGAATAGAGTCTAATTCTATTGGCTTTCAAAAGCCAATAGGAATTGTCCAGGTTGTCTCTGCCCTGCTGAGCCCGCCAAAACTCCCATTCTGCAAACGGTGCTGCACCAGTTGAGTAGTCCTCGACTTACGACCGGTTGAGTAGTCCTCGACTTACGACCGGTTGGGGGTCGCGGCATTAAAAAGGTTGAGAACCACTGCTATATAATCTAGTCTGCTTTGCGGTTCTCGGCCTCTTTCCTTCCCCTTGTGGAGCTTTGGCCATGTGGTTAAAACCTGAATCGTCTAAAACCACCCAATCGCGTTGAAGACACAACATAAATGTATTAAGCACACAAATAATTACAGTGTAGATCAAGCTCCTAGGAAAGCATTGGCAGAACCACAGCTTACATACCTTTATCCTACTACATTACAAAAAACGAGACAAAGAAAAAGTCAGATGTGGTATAAATTATATAGCATGTCACAAGCCAAATCCCAAAATTAAGTTCCCCCCTGTGTGAAAGTTAAAGCCAAAGCATTATTTAATTGGCTTTGGATTGATACCATTATAGATCTGTCATGACTCCAGTTCAGCTGATGTTTTGAATCATCCTCCCAAACCTTACACAATCTTACTATGGCCCTAAAATTGTATTTTCAACTATGTAAACAATAGGGCTTGTCTGTGTTTTTAAAGCGTGTTGCATTTTAACACGTGCAAATGGGTTAAAACTCATCAAGTTAATCCTACTTATCATATGTACTTATGGATAAGCCCATGCATGGATAAGCTGACGCTTGACTTTTAACCAAAATACCATTAAAAAATGCACCACCGACAGATAATACGATCCTCAACATTTTCATATGTTTTAATTTTCATCATTGGCTTATCTGCAGGTGGGGCATTTTTCAAGTTATTTTGGTTAAAAATTCGAAGTTTGGCTTATGCGTGAACAGGTGTATATATATATACACACAGGATTGATTTATTTATTTGGTTCCTTTGAGTCAGTTTTTTATTCCTCATGACTGCCTAGGCCAGGGGTAGGCAACCTTGCCTCTTTTATGACTCGTGGACTTCAACTCCCAGAACTCCTGAGCCAACCATGCTGAGGGGAAAGGGGGAGGTTTCCAAGCTGAGCCATGCTGGCTCAGGAATTCTGGGAGTTGAAGTCCACAAGTCATAAAAGAGCCAAGGTTGCCTACCTCTGGCCTAGGCCTAGGCCACTTTATGACTCGTGGACTTCAACTCCCAGAATTCCTAAGCCAGCCATGCTGAAGGGAATGGGAGAGGTTTCCAAGCTGAGCCATGCCGGCCCAGGAATTCTGGGAGTTGAAGTCCACGAGTCATAAAAGAGCCAAGGTTGTCTACCCCTGGCCTAGACCAGAGTTCCCCAACCTTTCGGGATTGGTGGTCCGGAGTGGGAGAGGGGGGTGAAAAGGGATTGTTTTTTGGGGGGGAATGCATGCACGCGCCCAAATACCTTTTGCCGGCACAAATGGAGCCGTGAACGCCCGCAATACTCGCGTGAGTAGGGCTGTGCTCATGTGCACACTGGCCAGCCGCTCACGCAGCATGTGGCCCATGGGTTAGGAACCCCCGGCTTAGACAAGTCCTTGCAAATATTTTGGCAAGATTTCAGAAGTGGCTTGCCATTACCTCCTTCCTTGGGATGAGAGAGAGTGATTGGCACAAGGTCTCTCAGCTGGCTTTGTGCCTAAAGTGGGACTAGAACTAAAATACACTCTACAACTTACTGTGACTGTGCCATTTTTTGCTTTAATGCAGCTATGGTGCCTTCTAGTTGATGAAGTTCATCTGTTAATCCATGTTGAGCCTGGAGTTAAGGAGAAAAAAAACAAGCCATTCAGGATTCAGAAATAGGCCAGACTGATCAGAAAAGTATAACTCTTTCCATATTGCCACCTCCGCTATAAAGAATTGTGTTCTGCCTTCCTCATCCTAAACTGCGGTCATAAGTTGAGGTGACCGCGTGACTGGAAGTAATTTTACAGTCTTCCTCGTGGCAGTCATTAAGTGAGCATAGCAGTCGTTAAGCAAGCCCATTTATTTGAATGGGTGTTTCCCCCCCCCCCCGGAAACTGGCAAAAATGCCAATCACAAAACAAGGCCATGTGACCACAGAACATCGTGACCAGGTTGGAAAGCTAACCCACCTGACATGCAGTCACATGACCACGGTGGGTGGGACAGCCTGAACACTTACAGTGGCCAAGGTTGCTTCATGGGTCACAAAGTACCTGTTCCATGGCTGTTGTAACTTTGAACAGTTGTAAAACAATCAATTACCTGTACAGAGAACAGTCACCCTCAATCTTCTCACATCTAAATTAAGTGGGTGCTCTTTAGAAGGCCAGATCCTGAAGTTGAAATTCAAGTACTTTGGCCACCTAATGAGAAGGAAGGACTCCCTGGAGAAGAGCCTAATGCTGGGAAAGATGGAGGGCAAGAGAAGAAGGGGACGACAGAGAATGAGGTGGCTAGATGGAGTCACTGAAGCAGGAGGCGTGAGCTTAAATGGACTCCAGAAGATGGTAGAGGACAGGAAGGCCTGGAGGAACGTTGTCCATGGGGTCGCGATGGGTCAGATACAACTTCGCAATTAACAACAACAACAAAGGATTCACCCAAACTAGAGTCCTCCACAAAAGTCTTGTGAAATATATGGCATCTACATCTCCGCGAAGTCCTTGGTGCTCTCTGAGCCAAGTTCTTTTATTGCAGACGTTTCATTACCAAACTAGGTAACATCATCAGTGGAGATCAAGAAAACAACCAAGGGCACATCAGAAAAACCACCAAGCTTGGAGAACACCAAGGACCCCACAGTTTAACCCTGAGCTACAAATAGTCTCTTCTATCAGCATCTACATCTCTTTCATGGAAATGCCATGCCCTCGTCCCGGCTTTGTACATAAGCAGAGACTCGGTGCAACCATTATTTCCGATCCCTGCTGTTCGCTTCTAGCCTTAAGAGAATTCTGTACCTGGTCACGGCAAAGCTCCATGTTGGGGCGGTAAGTCCGAGTCTCCAGGCGAGTGTGAACCAGTTTCAGACTGGCCATTTTCCTTTTGAGATCTTCCTCCAGACGTCTAATGTCCTCCTCCATCTCAGCAATTTCTTCCAATGTCTGGAAGGGATACAATTATGGTTTGTTTTCAGAAACACCGTGCAGAAAACGTAGAACGCCTGGCTGGCCAAGCCCCTAATATTTTTTCCTGGGGATTCAGAAATGATGCCAACTCCATATAAAATGAGGACCCAGATTGTTGGGGTCAATGTAAATATATATATATACATTGCTTACTGGTGTACACCGCTTAGAGAGTGCTTGCACTTAAAGCGGTATATAAGTCTCATAAATAAATAAAAAGCAGGCATGGGAATGGTGTTAAAGCTCATGCCAGGATGAATTTTGCATACCTAAGCTCCTATAGCAGGACCAAGAAAGATTTCGGCCAGACTTCAGGAGAAACTAATGCTATGTATATAAATACAAACAATATGAAGCTCTTCCTATGGCAGTCTTCCTCATTAGTGCCTTCCATAGGCACAGACTTCAAGTCCCAGAATTCTCAGCCACGGCTGGGGTGGCTGGGGAATTCTGGGAGTTGATGTTCACACTTCTGGGGGATGCCCATTTTTAAGAAGGAAACGTGGAGTATCTTCGGATGTTCTCTCATTAAAAGCAGTCAATGCAAGGAGAAACTGCACTACTCAAAGTTACTATGTGAAGCAGCTGGGCAAGTTCTTTATACCACTTTTTTTTTTTTTAGCTGGAGATGAGTGATATCAAACGAGGAGAGACATGGAAGTTATGATGATGTTGGCAGGGGAGCAAATGAGCAAGGAGCAAAAGTCCACAAGAATTAATTTAGCTTTGCTCAGCTACTTTTGAGTTCTTGTTTATAATTTTTTTTAATTCATGTTCATACGGAGATCTCTACTTACCAAAGAGGTCACTGAATTAACCCTTTTTCTATATTTGCACAATATGTTGAATCTTAAGTCCTCATAACTTGCTAACCTTGGGGTCCTCAATCCCAAGGCCGCAGCCCAGAACCAGGCTGCAGAAGCAGCAGGCGAGCAAACGTATACGCAGCTCCACTTGTGCAAACAGCGGGCGAGCATGTGCGTGCATGCTCACCTGCTGTTCACGCTGAATCATCTCCTCTCCCCCCCCCCAATTCACAAAGCCAGAAAGATTGGGGACCGCTGTATTACCCCCTGTCTAAACCAGAAGACTGGAACTTTGAAACTTCCTTTTCTTAGGAGTTGCCTCTGGTTCGGCACACTCTGACCCCATCTCTTGCTTTGGACTAGCACCTTGGTGATGCCTGTTGCCACCAACATAGGTCCTTCTGACATATCCTTAGCCCAGGAGTAGACCACCTGGGCTCTTTTATGACTTGTGGACTTCAATACCCAGAATTCCTGAGCCAGCCATGCTGAGAGGAAAGGGAGAGGTTTCCAAGCTGAGCCATGCTGGCTCAGGAATTCTGGGACTTGAAGTCCACGAGTCATAAAAGAGCCAAGGTTGCCCACCCCTGGCCTAGGGCCTGGGCCGCTTTATGACTGGTGGACTTCAACTCCCAGAATTCCTGAGCCAGCATGGCTCAGCTTGGAAGCCTCTCCCTTTCCCCTCAGCATGGCTGGCTCAGGAATTCTGGGAGTTGGTCCACAAGTCATAAAAGAGCCAAGGTTGTCTACCCCTATCCTAGGACGAAGATTAAAAGCAGGGGTCTTCAAACTTGGCCCTTTTATGACTGGTGGACTTCAACTCCCAGAATTCCTGAGCCAGCATGGCTCAGCTTGGAAACCTCTCCCTTTCCCCTCAGCATGGCTGGCTCAAGAATTCTGGGAGTTGAAGTCCACGAATCATAAAAGAGCCAAGGTGGCCTACCCCTGCCTTAGCCTATCTTCAGATGACCCAAGTACAGGTCATCCTCGACTTAACGACCGTTCATTTAATGATGGCTGAAAGTTATGACAGCCTTGGCCAACCCCTGCTCAAAAAAACCCACCATCACACCATCCCCGCAGTCACAGGATCACAATTTGAGCACGGGGCCACAAGGCCGCATTTACAATGCTTGCGGTTTCTTGCGCTCATGATTTGCTATTGTCCAGGCTTCCAACAAGCCAGAAAAGCTAGATTTACTTAACAAACCACATGATTCACTTACTGACTATGGTAAAAATGGTCACAAAATTGGATCTGGTCACGGGATGACTCATTTAAAAAAAGTATCACTTAGCAACTTTCAGTCATAATTGTGGTCGTAAACCGAGGAGTGCCTGTTAATTCTTTAATTCTGCATTCTTTAGGGAAGGGAATGCGTAAATCAAGAGGAATCTGCTCCCTTCCTGTTGAAAAGAAGGACCAGAAGGACATCAGTTTCCCAAATCCAACTTCCCGCTTTCCTGCGTTGTTCTCACAAGAAGGGAAGGGGGGGGTTATGGGAAATCCTGAGAATTAGCAATACTTTGTTCAGTCTCCTGGTCATCTCTCTGAAATTAAACCTCAGCTGGACCCAAATTCAACCTATACGTGCAAAACACTGAAATGAACTCTTCACAAATTTGACCGGTCTCCTGACCGAGCTGAAGACTAACGTTCTTTTCTTGCCATCTCAGCTCATCAAGAGCTTTTTCCAGATCATGGATCCTCTTCCGGAAAGCAAATTCGGTAGCCACCCGCTGAGCTTCCAACTCATTGTCGGTCTAGAAAGAAAAAACTCAAGTCAAAAGAATAGACAGAGAAACTGCAATTAAAGAATTATTATTATTATTATTAATAATAATAATAATAATAATAATAATAATAATAATAATAATAATGTTGGAAAGGACCTTGGAGGTCATCTAGTCCAACCCCCTGCTCAGGCAAGCAGGTAACCCTATACCATTTTGGACAAATGGCTGTCCAGTCTCTTCTTAGTTGATTATTTGAATGCCAAGTGGACTGGGGAGAGAGAGAGAGAGAGAGAGAGAAAGAGGGAGGGAGAGAGAGAGAGAGAGAGAGAGAGAGAGAGAGAGAGAGAGAGAGAGAGAGAGAGAGAGATCTTAGATTGCAGATTAGACTGGTATTTCTCAAGCTTGGCAACTTTAAGATGCGTAACTTCAACTCGCGCTGGTTAGGAGGATTCTGGGAGTTGAATTCCACACATCTTAAAGTAGTCAAGCTTGATAAATACTGTATTAGACGAAAGAATTTGGGAATCCATATATACTAACAACATACAGATAATCCTCAGTTTACAACCATTCATTTATTGACCAGAGTTACAACAGCAACTGAAAAAAGTGACTTGCAGTTGGTCCTCACATTTACAAGCATTCTAGCGAGATCAAAATTTGTACATTAGCACCAGCATGTATTTACAATGGTCGCAACACCGTTTGTGACATTCCCAGCTGGCTTCAGGCCAGGAAATTCACTGAGAGAGAAACCAGATTCGCTTAACAACCAAGGGATTCAATTAACAACTGTGGCAAAAAAAAAAGCAGCTGTAAAATCAAGTGTTTTGCTTAGCAATGGAAATTCTAATTCTAAACACAATTGTGATCATATTCATGTCTACCTGTATTTCATGTCTAATCAGAACCCAAATGTTACCTAGACGAAACAGTACAACTAGATCTGCAGGTATGGATCTGATTGGGGTAAATTGTAGGGGGAGGAAACAAAAATACGTTTTGTATTTCCTTTTAGTTCTGCCTTTTATGCTACTTTGCTATAGGTGGTCTTATTATTGTTCTGTATTTTGTATTCTGATGTGGCTTAGTGGCCATTATTATTATTATTATGGATCATCGCACAGTCAGCCAGATGTTCAGACTGGATTTGGCATTTTGTCTATCTATCGAGTCCTTATCCAGGACCTGGGATAGGCAGATGTGGATGTTTGATGGTATCACAGATATCGTCGCAGGATGGAAGCAGTTATTATTATTATTATCGATCATCGCACAGTCAGCCAGATGTTCAGACTGGATTTGGCATTTTGTCTACCTATCGAGTCCTTACCCAGGACCTGGGATAGGCAGATGTGGATGTTTGATGGTATTACAGGTATCGTCGCAGGATGGAAGCAGTTCCTAATAAGGCCGCCTTTTGCAATTGACTAATAGCGAATTTGTCAATGCCAATGGTGTTCAAGTGGTGCTCCAGTTGTTTTGGGATTGCACCCAAGGAGCCTATGACTATTGGTACTACCCTTGCTTGCTTTTGCCACAGTCTTTCTATTTCTATTTGTAGGTCTTTGTATTTTGTTATCTTCTCCAGTTCTTTCTCTTCTATTCTGCTATCTCCAGGCACTGCCACGTCCACTATCCAGACTTTTTTGTCTTTCTTATCGACAATTGTTAAGTCTGGGGTGTTATGTTGCAGGTGCTTGTCTGTTTGAATTCTGAAGTCCCAGAGCAGTTTAATTTTATCATTTTCTATTACTTTCTCTATTTTATGATCCCACCAGTTTTTGCTTACAGGCAAATGATATTTTTTGCAGATCTTCCAATGCACCATTGTTGCTACTTTGTCATGCCGCTGCTTGTAATCAGTCTGTGCAATCTTCTTGCAACAGCTTACCAAGTGGTCCACTGTTTCTTCAGCTTCTTTGCATAGGCGGCACTTACTGTCTGTTGCTGTCTTCTCAATTTTGACTTTGTATGCATTTGTCCTTAAGGCTTGGTCTTGTGCAGCCAGAATTAATCCCTCGGTCTCTTTCTTCAATTTTCCTGCTCTTAGCCATTGCCAGGTTTTATTATTATCTGCTTTCCCAGCTATTTTTTTAATGTATTGGCCATGTAGTGCTTTGTCTTCCCATGCCTCTATTCTGTTCTTCATTTGGTCTTTCTTGTAGGCCAGTTTGGTCTCTCCAGTAGTTAGTAAGCCTTCCTGATATACTAATTTCAGTGCATCTTCATCATTGTTCTTCAGATATTCTTCCAAAGCCATTTTTTCTTCTTCAACCATCTGATGTACTTGTAGCATTCCACGCCCACCTATTTGCCTTGGTAGATAAAGTCTATCAATGTCACTGCGTGGATGAAGGGCATGATTCATTGTCATTATTTTTCTGGTCTGCCTATCCATTGCTTTTAGTTCTGCTTGAGTCCAGTCCACTATTCCAGCTGTGTACCTAATGACTGGGATTGCCCAGGTGTTGATTGCCTTTATGGTATTTCCTCCATTGAGTTTGGATTTTAAGATCTTCTTCACTCTCTTGATGTATTCACCTCTAATCTTTTTCTTGACTTCAGTGTGCTTGATGTTGTCAGCTTGAAGGATACCCAAGTATTTGTAGTATCTTCCTCATCCAGACTCTTAATGTTATTTTCGTGGGGCATCTTGATTCCTTCAGTTTTCATATTTTTCCTTGTTTGATAGTAAGTGTGGCACATTTGTCCAAGCCAAACTCCATTACAATATCTTGGCTATATATACGGACAGTGTTGAGCAGCGATTCTATTTCAGATGATGTTTTTCCATACAGCTTCAGATCATCCATGTAAAGGAGGTGGGATAGTCTGGCAGATGTTTTTGATGTTTGATAGCCATGTCCTGAGTTATTCAGTATTGTTGACAGAGGAAACAGTGCAATAACAAATAGTAATGGTGATAATGAATCTCCTTGAAATATTCCTCTCTTGATATTAACCTCTCCCAGCTCTCACCATTGATCTGCAACTGTGTCTTCCATTGTGCCATCGATCTTTGCACAAATTTTCTGATGTTTCTACTGACTCCTGTTATTTCTAGGCACTTGATTATCCAATCATGTGGCAGAGAGTCAAATGCCTTTTTGTAGTCAATCCATGCCACATTCAGGTTGGTCTTCCTTCTCTTGCAGTTTTCCAAGATCATTTTGTCTATTAGGAGTTGATCTTTTGTTCCTCTGCTATTGGGGCGGTTTCCTTTCTGCTCAGGTGGAAAGAGATTGTTTTCAACTAGATGCTGTTGTACTGCATCAGCTACCACACCAGTTAGTAATTTGAAAGTTGTTGGTAAGCAGGTAATTGGCCTGTAGTTACCTGGTGTTGCCCCTCTTGTTGGATTTTTCATTATTAGGTAGGTTTTCCCAGTTGTTAGCCACTTTTCAATTTCTCCTCCTTGTAGTATATTGTTGAATTGCTTGGCAATGAGTGGGTGTATAACAGTTAGATGTTTCAACCAAAACCCATGCAGTTCATCTTCACCTGGTGCTGACCAATTTTTGATTTTCTTTGCTCTTTTTTCTACCATTTTTGTTGTTATTACTAGTTCTTTCATTTCAACTTCTGTTTTATTTGCATCCACCTCTTTTAACCAAGCCGCATCCTTGTTGTATTTCTTTGGGTTATCCCATACCTGCTTCCAGAACTGCACTGTTTCTTCCTTGTCAGGTACTGACTGATTCCTTGCAGTTTCTCCATTGATGGATTGGTAGAAACGTTTCTGATTGGATTGAAATTGGAGGTTCTGCCTATAGTTTGCAATTCGAGCTTCATATCTACTGATTTTCCTGGCTATAGCTGTTATTTGTTGCTTTATTATTTCCAGTGCTTCCTTGATCTTCCTTGTTTCTAAGTGGTATTTCTTGATTAGGTATTCTTTGGTCTTCTTGTTCTTCAGCTTCTTTTCTTTCATCTGTTCTAGCTTGCTTGCATGTGATCTTAACTTGCTGATCTTATTTTCTAGTCTAACCTTCCATTTTTCTGGTGCACTGTTTGTTTGTTTTTCTTTTTTGTTGATTTTACATCCCAGGTATTCTGTTATAACTGCAGCTGTGCTGTACATTAGTTGGTTTGTTTCTTGCAGTGAATTGGTGCTTATACTTGCTATTGCAGTATTTGCATCTTTTAATGCTTGTGCTAGCTGTTTCTTTGGAACAAGCTTCAATGCAGGCAGCCTTATTCTGTTGTTTTTGTGCTGTTCTAGATGCTCAATTATTCTTTGTTTCAATTCTTTTATTTCTTTAGTTAGAGGGTTTTGTTCTTCCTGAGGAAGAGGTTATTATTATTATTATTATTATTATTATTATTATTATTATTATTATTATTATTATTATGGATCATCACACATTATTATTATTATTATTATTATTATTATTATTAATCATCATCACACAGTCAGCCAGATGATCAGACTGGATTTGGCATTTTTGTCTACCTATCGAGTCCTTAGTCAGGACCTGGGATAGGCAGATGTGGATGTTTGATGGTATTACAGATATTGTCGCAGGATGGAAGCAATTCCTAGTAAGGCCGCCTTTTGCAATTGACTTATGGCGAATTTGTCAATGCCAATGGTGTTCAAGTAGTGCTCCAGTTGTTTTGGGATTGCACCCAAGGAGCCTATGACTATTGGTACTACCCTTGCTTGCTTTTGCCACAGTCTTTCTATTTCTATTTGTAGGTCTTTGTATTTTGTTATCTTCTCCAGTTCGTTCTCTTCTATTCTGCTGTCTCCAGGCACTGCCACGTCCACTATCCAGACTTTTTTGTCTTTCTTATCGACAATTGTTAAGTCCGGGGTGTTGTGTTGCAGGTGCTTGTCTGTTTGAATTCTGAAGTCCCAGAGCAGTTTAATTTTATCATTTTCTATTATTATTTCTGATATCATCATCATCATCATCATCATCATCATTATCATTATCTCATTATTATTATTATTATTATTTGGTTGAAACAATTAGTTTGCTGTCATCTAGCCAAAAGCAAAACAATTAACCTGTGCAATGGTGAGAGCGACGGCCTCTCTCAATTCTGTGGATGCTTTCATTTCTGTCTCTGCCCGATCCGTGTTGTATTTACTGAACTGGTCCCACTGCTCTGGTGTGACTGTCCTACAAAAGCCAAACATGTTCCATTGGTTTGGTTATTTCATTCAAATTTGTACCACTTGCAAACAGACACCCTCTTTCCCTCACTCAGTCTTCCCAGGATTCGACGTATAGGTGAAAGAAAGAGTGCCCATGTGCAAAATCAGCACAACATGTCAGAAGGGGGCAAAATTTGCCTTGGCCAACGACCCCTGGGACCCCTCACCACGGCCAACTTGCTGTGGACAAACTCGCTGCAGGACAATTCAACAAATACAAAAGTTACTTTAATTCTGATGGAACCGTGGCCAATCATAATAAAATAAAGTCAATCCAGAAATACAAGAATGACAAGAATTTCGACGAAAACAGAGTCATCAGCATTAAAAGCAACCGAATGAAATGATGAATACAGCGGTGGTTAGTTGTCCCGTGGCGAGTTGGCTGCGCCGAATTGTCCGCGATGCATTGACTTAGACCCCAGCCACATAACGCCACTTCTTTGCAAGATTCACTAGCTCTGTGTCAGCTTCCAAGTGCCATTCAAGTTATCAGTTACCATCTGCAAACCCTGACGAGGCACAGGACATGGCTTTTTCTGTGACTGCCTCTAATAATGTGGACAGAGATGGGTTCTCTGGTACCCAGATGGAGTGGCTTTTCATTAGCAGTGCCAGACTTTGAATAATCTCTCTAATGCTCAGATGGCTCTGACTTAGCTGGCCTTAAAGCAAGTCTTAAATACACAACTATTCCCTCATTGTTTGGATATGGATGAGTAAGCTCTCAGTAGACAATAGGTAAAAATAAGCCAGATCATCTGTTATCGATTTGATGGTTGATCGTTGTTTTTATTTATTCCCCCTGGGGTAAGTTGCCCAAAGTTGCATTGTTTGAGTTGGATGACATAAATCCAAATTCATAAATAGATAACATTTGACTAGTTGGGAAAGTATGGGAAGTCTGTTGAACTGGAAAGGGGGGCAGACCTGGGTGCCATTGCGCTTTCCCGTGCAAATCCTATCACAATGGAAAGAATAGACTAACACACTTTTTGTGGGCAATGTGCTTTCATGGGTTCTTTGAGTTAGCCCATTTGAGGTACCTTGGTAGAAACAGTGTTCTCCTAGGGCGCACCATTTTGTCTAATTAACGGTTCACTTTAATAGTTTCAAAATAAATAAATAAATTCCCAACTCTACATGATACCATCTAGACCAGGGGTAGGCAACCTCGGTTCTTTTATGACTTGTGGACTTCAACTCCCAGAATTCCTGACTCAGGATTCTGGGAGTTGAAGCCCACGAGTCATAAAAGAACCGAGGTTGCCTACCCCTGATCTAGACCTTTAACATCCTAGCTGATGACCCAGAACTTCCAGGCTGAAGGGATTTTGGTTCAATGCTGTTAAGTCTAAATGAATATAACTAAGGCATTATTGAGCAGTGTGTAACATTCTCACCCATTTACAAGTATCTGTGGAGATTCTCAATCATCCCAAAGGTGCTTTTTCAGGAGGCAAGTGGACTTCCTTGTTTTTCTTTGAAGAGTCTTCGCTTCTCATCCAAGAAACGTCTTCAGCTCTGACTGGATGGAAGGGAATGGGAAATGGAAGGATTTATACTCCTTGTAGATAGCTGGCCATTTTCATTGTTTTATAGAGTCATTGAGGCCACCTGGAGGTTTATCTGTGTCGTCAGGGTAATAATAATAATAATAAAGTTGGAAGGGACCTTGGAGGTCATCTGGTCCAACCCCCTGCTCAGGCAGGAAACCCTATATACCATTTCAGACAGATGGCCGTCCAGTCTCTTCTTAAAAACTTCCAGTGTTGGAGCATTCACTGCCTTCTGGAGGCAGGTTGTTCCACTGGTTAATTGTTCTCACTGTCAGGAAGTTTCTCCTTAGTTCTAGGTTGCTTCTCTCCTTGATTAGTTTCCATCCGTTGCTTCATGTCCTGCCTTCAGGTGCCTTGGAAAATGGCTTGACTCACTAGGCAAGGAGTATAAATCCTTCCCCAGCATCCAGTCAGAGCTGAAGAAGCTTCTTGGATGAGAAGTGAAACGTCTTCAAAGAAAAACAAGAAAGTCCAATTGCCTCCTGAAAAAGCAACCCATTTACAAACTACATTTACAGATTTTAATCCATCAGTGATATATCTCTGTGTGCTCCCGGCGTGATTCATGGCTGGAAATAAAATAGAGAATCATACAAACACCAAAGAGTTAAAAGAGCACCGAGGAGAAGTGGCCTAAAACACACTGTAGAACAGTGGCTGGCTTTCCACCAGGTACCACAAATGTAGAAAACCCTTTGCTGTTTGAGTGGCACCAAAGGGAAGTCAGATTAATTCGCCTGAATGGTTCACTCCTTTGTTATTTGTCAAGATTTCCACCTCTCTTTTCTAGGCATTTGATCTTACCCAACTGGCAACCGGGTAGGGTTGACTTTGTACGAAATGTTGGGAGAGTTGACACTGAGCGAAAGACAGGTCTGGTCGATCTCCAGGGCTTCCTTCTTCCCTCGGTGATCGAAATTTAACTGCTGCCGGGCCTCCTGTAAGAGACTGAGAATGATAAACCATTAGAGCCTTTGCATTAGAGCAAAGGCAGTCTTGGTCTTCAGGAGACACAGTCCACGAACCTACCTTAAGATCCCCGTCACGATGTCCTGCTTGCCCCTTTGAATCTTTGGACTCACCAGAGCTGCTCAAAAGCCTCACTGACTTTCTGCTGAAGGTCTCTCTTGGTGGCATCAATCACTTCCACTTCCTTGTGCAGCTCATCCTCCACATGGTCCTTCACGACGTCAATGGCTCGGCGGCTCTCACGGAGAGTAAGGTTTTCAATGGCCACATCCAACGGCAGGTTTTTGGCTTGGAGGGCACGTTCAGCTGCCTCCTTCATCTGAAGAGGGAGATCAGAATAGAGTAAGCAGAGACATCAAACTTACCAAAGCAGCCTCATACAAAGAAAATTTATATAAAATGTAAAAAAGATGTTGAGACTCTAGAAAGAGTACAGAGAAGAGCAACAAAAATGATCAAGGGACTGGAGGCTAAAGCATATAAGGAACGGCTGCTGGAATTGGGTCTGTCTAGTTTAACGAAGAGAAGGACAAGGGGGGACATGATAGCTGTGTTCCAGTATCTCAGGGGTTGCCCCAAAGAAGAGGGAGTCAAGCTATTTTCCAAGGCTCCTGAAGGCAGGACAAGAAGCAATGGATGGGAAACTAATCAAGGAGAGAAGCAACCTAGAACTAAGGAGAAACTTCCTGACAGTGAGAACAATTAACCAGTGGAACAACCTGCCTCCAGAAGCGGTGAATGCTCCAACACTGGAAGTTTTTAAGAAGAGACTGGACAGCCATTTATCCGAAATGGTATAGGGTTTCCTTCTTGAGCAGGGGGTTGGACTAGATGACCTCCAAGATCCCTTCCAACTTTACTACTATTATTATTATTACTATTATTATTATTAAATGTTTTATAGATGGCATATGACGCCAGTTAGATTAGCGGAAATGTTTAAAAATGTATCGAATAACTGGTTGAAATGTAAACGAAAACCAGGTATCTACTATCATGTCTGGTGGGTATGTCCTAGCGCAAAGAAATTTTGGTTTAAGATTCATATAAGGCTGGAAAAGATGACTAAAATTCAGTTAGAATTTAAGCCAGAATTGTTTTTTTTAGGAATATTAGGACTTAATTATGGAAAAGAGAACGAATACTTAAAATTACATGTATTAACAGCTGCGAGAACAGCCTTTGCCCAATTCTGGAAAAATGAAAATTTACCGTCTGACCAGATTATAATCACAAAAATTTTAGAATGTGCAGAAATGGATAGATTAACTCTAGAGATTAAAGAGAAAAAAGTTTATTTTAAAAGATGGGAAAATTTTTATCAATGGTTAGTAATACGATCTAGCGAGAAATGATTGTGAAATTTAATAGGATGAAAGATATATATATATTTTTTTTTCAACAATCTTTTTTATTAATTTTTTTCCATCAACATATGTTAATTTTTCCAATCAAACAAGTTGTCTGGTGTTTGCTAAGCTAATACATGTTCACTTCCTAATCCTTCATTCTTTTCTCTAACCAAGAATAAAATAAATTCCAAATTTTATAATAGTCCGTATTATAAGAAATACACGAAAATATTGGAATGTGCAGAGATGGACAGACTAACTATGAGGCTGAAGGATGAAAGATATTTACTGATTAATCATTATTTCCACGATTACTGTTATTCCTAGTGATTATAGCTATTTACCATTACATTAATTATCGTTATTTAATATTTGTACCCAGACGATAGTCTGCTTGTTAAAGCGTAGAATTATTGTTGGGGGCAACCCCATTATTGTACCTACCCTTACCCCAACCCCATTCCTGAACCCTACCTAATACCTATACCGATCCCATCCATTCCTTATCCTTGTAAAACCCAATAAAATATTTATATATATATATAAAAAAATAGAGTAAGCAGAAGAAAGACCAGCCAAAACAAGGGTGGGGAAAAACAGTCGGAGACAGCAGACTCATTCTGTGGAAATTGTTTGCTGAGGCTCAGCTTACACTCATAGACAAGTCTTACCAATTAATTCATTGCACAACGAATCTCAACATTAGGAGCAACATTCTAACGCAGTGGTTCTCAACCTTTTTAATGCCGCGACCCCCAACCGGTCATAAGTCGAGGACTACTCAACCGGTCGTAAGTCGAGGACTACTCAACTGGTGCAGCACCGCTTGCAGAATGGGACTTTTGGCGGGCTCAGCAGGGCAGAGACAGCCTGGACAATTCCTATTGGCTTTTGAAAGCCAATAGAATTAGACTCTATTCAAGAGAGTCTATTCTATGGCTTTCAAAAGCCAATAGAATAAAAGGGAGTAGCACAGCTAAGGAAAAGGGGAAAAAAATGGCGGACTGCATTGTTTGGTGACCCCCGTGAAATGGTCGTTCGACCCCAAATGGGGTCCCGACCCACAGGTTGAGAACCACTGTTCTAACGCAATGCATCGTGCACCATAGCAGTGTATTTCGATCTGTGTTTCTAACACCACCAACCAACCTTCTAATATTGGATTAGATATCCATCTCACTATCTCTGAGAGTTTACAGAGGAGCAGGCAGGAAAAAAAAACTGTATTGCTCCATCAAACCCAGAGAAGAGTATTGTGGTCTTCCAAACTTTTTTGCTCCAGGATAAGAGGAAATGGAGGCGGGGGGGGGGGGGATAAAATCTAGACCTTCTGCCCACTGGGCAAAGTAATCCTGGGGCAGAAAAGTTTGCCAAAGAAGAGAACATTTGTGGCTCAGGTCAAACTCTGGGGTCCTTGGTGCTCTCTGAGTGCACTGATGAATTTACCTAGTTGTGTAATGAAACCTCTGCAAGAAAACAAGCAAGCTCACACACCACTAAGAACTCCACAAAGAAGAGCTGAAGCAATGGACAAAGAGGGATTTCTCACTTCCCTTTCCCACTTCCTCGTGCGCTGGGGATTCTGGTGGTCTAAAAATATCTCCCATAAACCAGGGGTAGGCAACCATGGCTCTTTTATGACTCGTGGACTTCAACTCCCAGAATTCCTGAGCCAGCCATGCTGAGGGGAAAGGGAGAGGTTTCTAAGCTGAGCCTTGCTGGCTCAGGAATTCTGGGAGTTGAAGTCCATGAGTCTTAAAGCGGCCTATGCCTAGGCCAGGGATAGGCAACCTTGGCTCTTTTATGACTCGTGGACTTCAACTCCCAGAATTCCTGAGCCAGCCATGCTAAGGGGAAAGGGAGAGGTTTCCAAGCTAAGCCATACCGGCTCAGGAATTCTGGGAGTTGAAGTCCACGAGTCATAAAAGAGCCAAGTTGAAGTCCCTGTCATAAACAAACAATAGGTCTGTTCCTGGAAGAGGAAAGTCAGGCTAACATTTGCATTATTGGAAAGGTTTTATAACTCAGCAGTAGATGTTTTAGTAAGGTGAAAGAAGAGAAGAAGCATGGCATGGGGAAAACATGGGGGGGAAAGTGGTCTAGAGGATGAGTAGGGCAACAGTGATATTTGAGACCCAATTTTATGGCCATTGTAGGTCAACGTTGTGGGAATAATCTCCTACCACTGGGGACCATGAAACACGTCAACACCATACTCTCATTTCTCTGATTTAACATTGGTCTTAGATTACAGACATAGCTCAAGACACGATAATATTCAACAATTTTGCATCACTTCATTCTTCCTGCTGCCCTTAAGACTTTCCAAAAAAGTCAGTGCTAGCTCCAATCCATCACAAATCTTGCCTATCAGAAGTGTGCAAATGCTTTTGATGATACGATTACTTTTCCTGATTTCCTGATTTTCATTTATTACTTTTGATTGTTAGGATTTTTTTTTTTGAGATTTTTTTAGTAGTGTTTACTTAATAGATCAATGTATTTGTTTACTAATTGTTTTTAATGTGTTACAGTTTAAGCTTTGTTAAAAATGGTTGAATATGATATTTACTCATTATTATGATCCAGACAGTTGCTTGTTTGTTAAAATATGTGATTGTACCTATCCTTATTTTACCCTAATTCCCTATTTCCTTCCCCTCCCCCTTTCCTTTTACCCCTCCCTTTACCATACTTGTATTGTTCCTATTTTTCCTCACCTATATAAATTTAATAAAATTTTGTTATAAATAAATAAATAAATAAAAGTGTGCAAATGCTCTGAGCTTAAAGTGGCTAGTCCTTATTGAGGAGGAATACAGGATCTGGGTTGGTGTTGTGTCTTTAGAATGAACTGCGGAACATGGGAGATTTGCCACTAGTTTCCTGGAGGGTGGGATGGGGTGAGGAAGACATGAGTCCATCACGTACTTGAGTCAAGCTATTTATTTCCGTGTCCATGTCGGTGAGGCACTTATCCAGAGTTTCTTTCCATCGATTGACAGCGTCAAGACGCTCATTAAGACGAGTGCGGTTATCATGCTCATCCCATTTTGTCTGGGGAAGGAAAAAAAAACTCAAATCACTATTCAGATAGCTAAGTTCTTAAGAAAGTGACAGGACATAACCAAAGAAATGTATTAAACAGAGAAGGTGGCCTCTAAAGATAAAAATGTCCTAGCTCAACACCAAAATGCTTGAAGATGACACTCCCTTAATGGTAGAGTTCTTAGCAAGACTGCTTTCCTTGATCTTACAACACAGATGCAGCTTCAACCCAACACAGGTTGGCCTTGGAGGTATGGGGACCTTGCCAACCAACTTTTAAAAATGACAACCAGCCAAATTGTCAGAAGATATTTGGCTGCTTGTGCAGCACCATAGCAGGGGTCCAGACACGTCCATAAATACCTGGATTGCATCTTCTAAATGGCCTTCGAGGCCCATGTAAAGTGGGTTGCTATAATCCACCATGAGATGACAAGAACAAGACTGATTGTCAGCAGAGCTTCCTGTCCCAGAAATGGCCACACTTGTGCCAAGGCTTTCATAACCATGGCACCCATCTGGTATTCCAACAAGATCCAGAGGAACCCAGCGTGCAAGCCACTTCTGTTCACAGGAACACAAGGGCATTCAGAAGCTGTTGGTTTCAGAATCAGAGGAGATGAAACTTTTTTTCTCCTTCCAGACCCGAATGGTCTCCAAGCACCAAGACAGGATCTCAGTATTTTGCTACTGGTAGCATTATCAGCTTCACTTCTGCATTTTCAGTTCATTCATTCATTCATTCATTCATTCATTCATTCATTCATTCATTCCCATTCTATAATCTCCCAGAATTTGAAATGGACACCTAACATTAGAACCATCATTAAAAAGGCAGAACAAAGAATGTTCTTCCTGTGTCAACTCAGAAAGTTCAGACTATCCAAGGATCTGCTGATACAGTTGTACAAGAGGAATTATGGAGTCTGTCATTTGTACCTCAATAACGGCCTGGCTTGGCACAGCAGCGAAACAGGACAGGTACAGACTTCAATGGATAGGTAGGACTGCAGAAAAAAAACAAGCAACCACCCTGCCTTCCATTGAAGACCTGTATGGTGCATGAATCAGAAAGAGGGCGCAGCAGGTATCTACAGACACCCCCCCCATATCCTGGACATAAAATGTTTCAATTTCTCCCCTCAGGGATGCTGTTATAGGGCACTGCATGCCAAAACAACTAGACACAAAGATAGTTTTCCCTTTATGCCCTCACTCTGGTAAACATCTAATTACCACAGTAATTATGTCTAAAGATATTTACCCATGTAGTATGGCTGCATTACTATTATCCTTCAAATCTTCTCTGCTACCTTCTCCTATTGGTATCTTATGATCATATTACTTAGTTGTTTGTATATACACTGAGACAAAGTCTTTTTACACTTGGCCTATTCTATTCTATTCTATTCTATTCTATTCTATTCTATTCTATTCTATTCTATTCTATTCTATTCTATTCTATTCTATTCTATTATCTAATTCTATTCTATTCTATTCTATTCTATATATTCTATATTCTATTCTATTCTATTCTCTAATTCTATTCTATTCTATTATTCTATTCTATTCTATTATCTAATTCTATTCTATTCTATATATTCTACATTCTATTCTATTCTATTCTCTAATTCTTTTCTATTCTATTATTCTATTCCATTCTATTATCTAATTCTATTCTATTATCTAATTCTATTCTATTCTATTCTATTCTAATTATTCCAATGCATTCTATTCTATTCTAGTCTAGTCTAGTCTAGTCTAGTCTAGTCTAGTCTAGTCTCAATTTATATACTGCCCATCTCACAAATGAGCGACTTTGGGCAGCATATTCATTTCATGCACATTTTCACAGATGCCCTGGAACAGTTACAGCATTGTTTCTCAACCTTAGCAAGTTGAAGACATGTGGACTTCAACTCCCAAAATTTCCCAGCCAGCATTTGCACACCTGATTATTTGTTTCATTGCGAAGGATCCGGGTTTCTTGCCTGATCTGGTGGGAAGCAGAGCGTTGGCGCTGAGCATTGGTTGAGAGGAGGTCAGAATTGGTATGCCAGTCTGGCAGCGTGAACCTCTGGCCTGGCTTTACACTCAGAGTGGCCATGACTGTTTCCTGCTGCAAAAAAACAAAACAAAACAAGAAAAGCATAAGCCATGGTTTATTGACATTATGGTTTGTAGCTTTAGTTTGTTTAATAAACCCATCTTGCAAATGAGCAAACCCATCATTGTCTGTCGTCCTCCTCTTTCTCCTCCTCCTTGTTCCTTGACAGGCCTTATTAAATATTTCACATAAGGAAAATATGAAACCTTGTTTTTACAAACATGAAACTTGCCTCATTTAAGTACAGATGGGAAACTGGTGACATGCCAATATTCTTCCACGTATCAGCTTAATGGCAAGCAGTATATTCAAGACAAAGCTGTTGTTAATCATTAGGTCAAATTTGGCGTGCTCAGTTGGAATAATGGAAGAGAAATCTGTTTATTTTCTATATTTTGCAGTTCAGTTCTCTTATCAAAAGATCAGCAGATTAGTAAAAAGAATGTCTAAACATGCATTAATTCAGGAATGTAGTATGCAAAACCAAAAGTCTCTCTCTCTCTCTCTCTCTCACTGTGTGTGTGTGTGTGTGTGTCTGTCTGTCTGTCTGTGTGTGCGCATGGGTGTGTGTGGGTGTGTAGCTATGTGTGTATGGAGAAAAGCAGGCAAAAATTTTAAATTTAAATTTTATTAATAAATAAATTAAAAAAAAGCTACTGACACATCATGCAAAATCAGGACGAAATGAATTTAAGGGACGCAAAATCACAAACTAAGCAACATTCTCCAGAAAGTGTAAAAGTATTTCAACTTTATGTTGGAAACATATCCCAAAGGATCATTTTATCATACCTAATGGACTTCTAAAACAGCCAGAAAACCTTGGGTTCAAATACATAGAAAGATAACAAAGAATTTTAAAGATCAATTTTCAGCTGAAGCCAAACTGTTTTTTTTTGTTGTTGTTGTTTTAACTGGGATTACTGGACAGCCAATTAAAAATGAGTCACAGAATATTATTTTTTATATGATCCCTGCTGCGAGATTCCTATGAGTAAAAATGGAAAGACTCTTAAGATGTCTACAACATGATGAAGGTGACAGAGATGGCAAAATTAATGTGCTTGATTAGAGAAAGATCAGTAACTACATTTATTTGTGACTAGAAACCTCTTATGGACTTTTTGCTGGGGAAAAAAAAGAGAAAAGTGAACTTGTGATTTATGGAGCCGATGATTAGAAAGGGCAGCTTATAGAAAGAAGGAAACTATGATGTTACCGTAGAGAGAGAAGATAAAATAAAAATCTATTTATAACAGCTGTTAAAAAGATCAGAAGTCACTTCTTTAGAATCGTTTCTCTTCCTTTTTTTCTATATTTCCTTTTTGCTTTCTTATTACTTTTCTTTATTCTTCTTTAATTCAAAAGTGTTTAATTCTGTTGAAAACCTTCTTCCATAAAAGTTATTTTAAAAAAAGAAGTGTGGGGGGGGAAGCAATATAAATTGCTGAACGGTTGCTGGAATTGGGTCTGTCTAGTTTAATGAAGAGAAGGACGAGGGAGGGGCATGATAGCAGTGTTCCAATATCTCAGGGGCTGCCCCAAAGAAGAGGTAGTCAAGCTATTCTCCAAAGCGCCTGAAGGCAGGACAAGAAGCAACGGATGGAAACTAATCAAGGAGAAAAGCAACCTGGAACTAAGGAGAAACTTCCTGACAGTTGGAACAATTAACCAGTGGAACAACCTGCCTCCAGAAGTGGTGAATGTTCCAATACTGGAAGTTTTTAAGAAGAGACTGGACAGCCATTTGTCCGAAATGTTATAGGGTTTCCTGCCTGAACAGGGGGTTGGACTCGATGACTTCCAAGGTCCCTTCCAACATTACTATTATTATTATTATTATTGATCATCGCACAGTCAGCCAGATGTTCAGACTGGATTTGGCATTTTGTCTACCTATTGAGTCCTTACCAAGGACCTGGGATAGGCAGATGTGGATGTTTGATGGTATTACAGATATCGTCGCAAGATGATGATGATGATGATGATTATATCTCATAGCTTCAGCGATGCCACAAACAGAGCTCATGAAAATAATCCAGAGCTAAATTCTACTTCTGTATTATTATTATTGTTGTTGCTGCTGCTGTTATTGTTATTAATTTACTAGGCATCCAACTCCAGTAGAGTTCGGGCAGCGTACAAAACTCGAAAAAATAGATATATAAAAACATCTAAAAACATAAAATCAGACAGACAGCAGGTTAGAACAGCAAGGCTCCACCTTGGTGACTTTAAGATGGGTGCACTGCAACTCCTCCCAGGTGTCCCCAGCCAGCGTGCAGTCAAGAGAATTCTGGGAGTTGAAGTCCACCCATCTTAATGTTGCGAAGGTTGAGAAACCCTGGGTTCGAAGATGAAAAGTTTTACAGTTATGTTCTGCTGGAGAAGGAACGATGACTCTAGATGATTTGGGATATTGGGGTAGAAAGAGGAAAGCGTTTCTCCCCTAAATTGGCACCTTCCACTCACCGTCTCTCTTCCGCTTGGCCTCTGCTCCCTGCAGCTTTTCTGTTATCAGCAAGGTTGCTAAGCACACGTTAGGAGGTTGCCAGGCAACCACACTCTGCAGGAGCCAATCAGAAAGCATTCCCTGCAACTGTTTACAAAGGAGGAGCAGGGGACCATGGCAACGATGAGATGTTAAGGAAATGCTTCAAATAGTGGAAACTGCTCTTAGGGCAGTGTTTCTCAACCTTGACCATTTTAAGGCATGTGGACTTCAACTCCCAGAATTCCACAGCCAGCATTGCTGGCTGTGGAATTCTGGGAGCTGAAGTCCACATGCCTTAAAATGGTCAAGGTTGAGAAACACTGTCTTAGAACAAGTTTTTTTTTTTTTTAAGAAGGGTAATGTATTTCAAGTGGGAGGGTTACTACAATGTAAAAAAAGATGTGGAGACTCTAGAAAGAGTACACAGAGGAGCAACAAAGATGATTATTTTCACTCTGTCCTCTATTATCCAAGAGCAATGTGTATTTTGCACATGTATTTTCCTTAAACTAATCTATGGCAGTTATAAAGCATATAAAGATATCTATCAGTGAAAGAATTTCAGACTGCTGTACACAGAAAATAAGAGAAAATAGCAGTGAGTGCAGAAATCTTTGGGTTAAATCTATATCAGTGGTTCTCAACCTGTGGGTCAGGACCCCATTTGGGGTCGAACGACCATTTCACGGGGGTCGCCAAACAACGCAGTCCGCCATTTTTCCCCCCTTTTCCCTTTCCTTAGCTGTGCTACTCCCTTTTATTCTATTGGCTTTTGAAAGCCAATAGAATAGACTCTCTTGAATAGAGTCTAATTCTATTGGCTTTCCAAAGCCAATAGGAATTGTCCAGGCTGTCTCTGCCTTTCTGAGCCCGCCAAAAGTCCCATTCTGCAAACGGTGCTGCACCAGTTGAGTAGTCCTCAACTTACGACCGGTTGGGGTCGCGGCATTAAAAAGGTTGAGAACCACTGATCTATATAATACTAAAACTCTTGTTGTGACCTTTAACTGGGCAAAACAGCGCATCATAGGGGAATAATTTCTGAACGTCACATGGGCTAACTTACAGAATGTATCCAAAATCTGGGATCTATGAATCCTGTGCAGTTGAAATTGGGCAAATTTTATAAATGGCTTTATAAAACAAGTTATGACATAATACAGAATATCATAAATAATTTCCTCTGGTCCACTTGGGTCAACCCCTGATATTTGACTGCATTATACAGTTCAACTTTTAAGGCAGATGTATCTCTGAATCTCACCCTGAATTTGAAACTCTGTCATCGTTGAAGGCGTTGAGAAACATCTAGCAAGTATCTCTGAAACAATGACCCATCACTTATCTTTTTTCCCCACTGAATCTACAATATTCTAATGAAGTCTTTGGTGCTTTCTGAGTTTGGTTGTTCCCTTGCAGATATTTCATTACCAAAATAATAGAATAACAGAGTTGGAAAGAACGTAGGACAGTGATGGCGAACCTTTTAGAGACTGAGTGCCCAAACTGCAACCCAAAACCCACTTATGCATTGTCGGGTGCTGGGTGGGCGTAACTCATTGGGTGGGTGTGGCCCATCGGCTGCGGTGGTAACGGCAGACTGGGTGGGACTAAAAAGTTCAATCAATCAATTCCAACTTTGCAAGATCTTTTTTATTCCCGCAAGAAGTTGAAATTGACTGATTGATTGAACCTTTTTTTTCTTTGCACACGGTGGTGGAGGCCTAAAGCGAAAAGGTTTTATCAAACCCAGCTGAAGACCCAGGACTGGGGCGACGGCGCGCGTGCCCACAGAGAGGGCTCTGAGTGCCGCCTCTGGCACCCGTGCCATAGGTTCGCCACCACGGGTCTAGGAGGTCTTCTAGTCCAACTCGGCTCAGATAGGAAACCCTGTACCATTTCAGACAAATGAAATGAAATGAAAAAGATAAGGGAATAGAAGGGGAACTCATCAGACTTGCAGATGACACTGAGCTGGCAGGAATAGCCAACACCCCAGAAGACAAGCTCAGGATCCAGAAAGGTCTTGACAGACTTGAACAATGGGCCCTACCCAACAACATGAAATTTAATGTGAAGAAAAGCAAGGGTTTTACACCTAGGCAGGAAAAACCAAAGGTACAAGTACAGGTGAAGCGAAACCTGGCTCAAAAACAGTAACTGTGAGAGGGACCTTGGCGTTCTCGTGCACAATCACTTAAACATGAGCCAGCAGTGTGCAGCAGCAGCCAAAAAAGCTAATACAACTCTTGGTTGTATAAACAGAGGCATAGAATCACATGAAGTTTTACCTTAGTTACCACTTTATAAAACCTTAGTAAGACCACACCTGGAACACTGCATCCAGTTTTGGTCACTACATTACAAAAAAGACATTGAAACTTTGGAAAAAGTGGAAAGAAAAGAAACTAAGGTGATTAAGAGCCTGGAGACAAAAAAAATATAAAGAACAGCTGCAGGAATTGGGTATGGCCAGGCTAGAGAAAAGAAGGACGAGGGGTGACATGATAGCGGTCTT